TATAGTCCTCTTCCACCAATCCCAACTCTGCTACCCACACGCCGAGTACACTGCTCTCCTCCAATCAGGAGCAGGTCCCACAGTTTATTGGTTGAACTGGAGGCAGCTGTGTAGAAGCTGTTTCCTCCTCTCCCAGCGCCATATTGTGGGAGAGCAGATGCATAGAATAAGTCTTAATTCCAGTAACTTAGTCTAGTCCGGGTTGCTCCCCACAACTAATGTCCTAGTGACCTAAGCAAGTCACCTGGCCAAGCCCAAAGTCAGTGCTCAAGGGCACAAATTCCAGAAAGCATCGCTAGTGGTGAGTGACCACCCTCACACCTCGCCCCTGGGGTGTACGTGGGGTGAAAAATGGTAACGTTGCTAAATGCTTGCCTCAATAAATGTGTGCATTAAACAGTGGCTGGGGCACCATGAGGTTGCTCTCTGTAAGACTCTAGGGCTCTAGGGGAGCCACAGCACAGTGGGCTGGAGTAGGGGGAGGGGTGTCCCAAGGGATCTGTGGGCCTTGTTGCTGCCCAAGAATTCCTGGGAAGAAGGGGCGTGGTGGAGACCAACTTCACGGAGTCTGGGTGTAGGGGAAGGCCCGGGTCAACAGAAGCCCAAGATGCCAGAGTCGGCTTCTCACGGGACAAGAAGACCTCCTGACAAGAAGTTTCCCAGTGGGCAGCAGCTCGCTAATGTGGCGTGACCCAAAGAAAAGTCCCACTTTGAATTCCTGTCTCCTAGAATCTTCCCCCGAGGGAGATGCCGATGGAGACTTTACAGAGCTTGGGCCTCCCGGGTGACAGTGAGAGATCAGCCACAGTGCACTCTGGAATAGTCCCCTCCCTCCCTCCCTTCCTTCCTTCCTACCTACCTTCCCTGATGTATTTACTATTTATTTGAGAGGCAGAATTACAGACAAGAGGGAAAGACAGAGAGATCTTCCGTCTGTTGGTTCACTCCTCAAATGGCCGCTCTGGCCGGAGCTGGGCCAATCCAAAGCTGGGTTCCAGGAGCTTCTTCTGGGTCTCCCATGCAGGTACAGGGGCCCAAGCACTTGGACCATCTTGCACTGCTTTCCCAGGCCATCAGCATGGAGCCGGATTGGAAGTGGAGCAGATGGGACTCAAACTGGCACCCATATGGGATGCCGATGCTACAGAGAGTGGCTTTACCCGCTACGCATTGCTGGCCCCTGGAATATTCCTCATACTGGCTTCAGTGTCAGGAGACTGGCAGGTGCACAGGTGAGGAGGGCTCAATCAAAAGCTAGTGAAAGAATGAAGTTTCAATGAGCAGGTGAAGAATGATTTGGTGGAAGGCAAGACAGACTGGGAGGAGGAAGCCCAAGTTATACTCGTGATTTCCCGCAATCCTGTTAACCCCTCCTCCCCAGCCCCCTTTACAGATGAGAAACTGAAGCCTTAGAGGTGCTCAGGAACTCACCCACGGACACAAAGTTTGGAAGTAGTGGAGCAAGAACGTGAACCTGTGGCTTGCACCCTGGACCCTTGAGGACAACTCCCTATCAGACTCCAATACACCACACCACTCCCCTACAGAGAAAGGAACTTCTCAGGGAATCCTGGCAGACAGGCCCAGAAAGGAGCAGATGAATTCAGTGCCTGCCCAGGCCACACAGGCCTTCCACCCTCGCCGACCCAGGAACCAGGGCACCAAGTCACCCAGTACTGCTGGCTCCTGCCTCCTCCCCAGCCTGCCCCAGCACACCCAGGGCTGAGGTCACTGGGGCTCCCTCCCAGCACCAGGGCTCTCGAAGGGGCCCCTCGGCTTTGATGTGTGGCTGACAATCATAAGTAGCGTCAGTGGGAAATGAAAGAAAACCCTTTTCTTTGAACCAAGGAAGACTTTGGGAGAAAGCAAACAGAACGCGTCCAGTGAAGACTGACTTAGCCAAGCCGCAGCTCTGGCGAGGACAGCTTATTCATATTTGAAGGGGTATCAGATGCTGGCAGCATGCTAAGTGCTGCGAAGAAGGGAGAGGCTGCCGTCAAAATAAATCCTTGCAAAGGAATGAGCTGGAGGAGCCGGAGGCAAAAAAAAGGCATTGGCAGGGGTGGGGGCGGAGGGGAGGGAAGGAATAGGAGAGGGAAGGGGGGCACTGGGGCCTTGGGCTGCAGTTGAACTTTTGGGGTCTCATGCATTTGCTTTGGGATGGAATCCTTGACCTTGGCGGCACCTGCTGAAAGCTATGGCCTTTGTCATGCCTCTGACATCAAATGTAGACGCAGGTATAATTTAGGCTGTGACGAGGAGGGCCCTGGGGCCACCCTCAGCCCCTCTAGGACGGTGGTCATGGTGAACAAATGATGTTTGTCCCGTGGCCCAACCCAGACTCAGCCTCTGTTTCTGGAAACGGCTTTCCAGGGACTCCAACATGGCGCCTGGGTGAGAACGTGGAAGACCTTGGAGCAAAGGTGCTCTACTCTAGGAGCGCGAACACGTGACTCCAAGCCGGCGATGGCAGCCCACACAGCCCTAGGCCCACGGGCTGGTTTGGGGGGCCCCCAAGGCAGTTTGTAGCACACTGTTAGAAGATCTGTCCTGCCAGCCCCTTGCACCCAGAATAAAAGCTGGAGTCTTTACCAAGGTTGACCAAACCTTACACCACGCACTCCTCAAATCCAGAAAATGCGCCCAGCTCAGAGCCCCGGGACCTGCAGCTGCCTCTGCTGGGACCACTATGGCCCCTGAGATCCCCGGGGGTTGCTCCTCCCCTTCCTCTGGGTCTTTGCCTAACTGCCTGATCTGAGTAGCTCCCCGTCCCACTCTCAATCTTCTGCCCAACCTGAGTTTTCTCCCTAGCCTTTGCCCAGTTACATTTATTTATTGCACACTGTTCATCACCTCCACGGCAAGAGGGCTGTGCCCGCGCTGTCCACACCTAGGATAGCGTCTAGCACAAGGCAGCTGTTCCATAAATGCTTGTTGAATGAATGAATGAGTGATGCTACTCCATTCCTCTCCGTGGTCCATCAGGGTGCAGATGCTGTTTTCAAACTTGGTTAAACATCCCCTGGAAAGACAGGGCTGTTTTCCCAAGCAAGCGGTCAGCGAGTAAACAAAGAGAAGCTACTTGAGAACCCACCGGCCAACGGGGAGAACGAGGCAAGCACAGGAGAAATCCCTGTCCTTGAGGCGTTCGTACCCGGTCGGGTCTGAGCTCTGAGGCCGGAGAGCAGTCAGGGGAGCAGTGGCCGGGGAGTGGGAAGCGGACTGGGAACTCCCAGGCTGGGAGTAGCCAGGGAGGTTTGCTGGGGAGGGGGACACCATGAGGACCCCCTGAACATGCCCTGCAGGGTAGACGGTGTGGGAAGGCTTCCCCACAGGTAATCAGGTAGCAACCACCTGGCACTGGCCCTCAGCCCATGCTGGACGGAAGTGGCCCAGAGCCACTGGGGTCCTGACACCGTGGCGTGCTTTCTCCTCAGGCCCCTAATAGGACGGTGAGGGGGCTGCCACTAGGACCCCAGAATCTGGGAAGAGAACTTGCCAGGCCTGGCTGCAGAAGTGCCTGCCGTCAAAGCAAGTAGCATGAAGTTGGACCAGGTGGAGGAACCTCCTTGGAGCCTTCGTTTTGCCGTCTGTGAAATGGGGCCAAGGCACTTTCCTCACTGAACAGCTGGGAGGCCCGTTACTTATGTGGAACTTCCGGCTCGTGCCAGCAGAGACAACCCCATCATTAAAGACTCCAGGTTTTGGCCCCAAGTGTTGTCAGGCCTGGGGGCTCCTCTCAGGCCACCCCTTTCCCAGCCTCAGTTTCCAAGCTGTTGCTATCTGAGATGGGTAGGGGTGGAGAGGGGAGTTTGCCTCTCCTCCCCCCTGCCCTCACCTCTGCCTGCCAGGCTCCCTTCACTGAAGCCAACTTGTGTGTGGCCATGGCCTTGCCAATCGCAAGTTGCTGAAATGACGGGAGCACCGCTCAGGGCAGCAGGATCGGGTCCTCCCTTGAGGGCATCCCCACCTCTCCCCGCCTCCCTGCCCACCTCCACCTTTCCGTCACCTCAGAACCCTAGCCGGACCCTGCACCTGGAGTCTTGTTTGCCATGAGAGCCTAAGGGCGCCGTGTTAGCCAGATCCGGATTCTACCCCTGGCTCGGATGTGGCCCCGTGGGAGGGAGAGGTTGGCCCAGGCACCCAGCCCCTCCAGAGTCCTCTCTGGGAGACGCTGCCGCCAAAAGAGCCCAACCCAAGAGCCACCAGGGTGGCCGTGAGTCCCAAGGGAGTTGCAGGAGCCTGCCCCGGCGCGATGCAGGGGCGCAGGGGACCCCGCCCTCCCGCTGTGGCGCAGCGCGGACGCGGCTGCTGGCTGCTCGGTCCTCGAGGGCGACCTGGCCACCGTGAGGCCTTGCGCTCCCGCCTCGCATCTGCGGCTTCTCAGCGGCTGCGGCGTGGGCCGCCCGGAGTTTTGCGCGCCAGGCAGCAAAATAAGGGTTTAGCGACCCCTCTTGGCAAACCCCTGTTACAGCTGCTGGGTTCGGGGCGCGTCACGGGAGAGGGGCTTCCCGCGGCAGCTAGTCGCGGAGGAGGAGGGATGGTGGAGACAGGAGGCCTCCATCCCACGGTCGGTAGTCAGCACGGGCCCACCCGGATCGATTCCATGGTTGTTTTCAGTCACTCACTGATGCGTACGAAGGCGTGTCCCCCCTGTATGCCTTGGAGCATGGCAGGCACCAAGAAGCCTACAGGCCAATCGCGTTATGCTTTTCATCCGTCCATCCATCCACCCATCCATCCACCCACCAATCCCCACTCACCTACCCACTTAACTCATTCATTTGCAAACATCATTGAGCTCCTCTGTGGATCAGAGAACCCTTTTTTTTTTTTTTTGCAGGTGAGCGTCATTAGTAAATAAAACAATGGCCCCTGCCCACTTGGAGTGTAGGTTTTGGAGAAGGAGACTGAAAGTGCACAACACACCTAAGAAGTGAGTGAATCACGTGCCGTGGTGGAGGAGACTCGTGCTCTGCGAATGACAGGTGCAATGGGAGGAGGACGGCACTGCCGCCCCGGTGGGGAGCAGGCTGTGAAACCGGTGGTCGTCGCAGCTCCGGAGAGGGAAGATAACATTTTCGTTTGAAAGGCAGAGGGAGAGAGATCTCCCTCTGTTGGTTCACTCCCCAAATGCTTGCAACTGCTGGGGCTGGGCCAGGCTGCAACCAGGAGTCAGGAACTTGGTCTGGGCCTCCCACCTGAGTGGCTGGGACCTAAGTACTTGAGCCCTCACCCGCTGCCTCCCAGGACACACTGGGATCGGGAGTGCACTGGGGGCTGGAGGCCTCCTTGTCAAGTTGTGCTTCCTGCCCAAGGCTCATCTGCTTCAGCCTGCTCTCCAGTCATGGCCTCCCCAGACACAAGAATAAATGAGTCTCCCATCTGCGTTAGTTGGGATCTCCTTTCCCTAGTAGTTCTCAGTAGTGGGTAGGAACTGGAATCACCTGGTGATCCTGGTAAAGTGTGCAGGTCCGGCCCCCCATCTGCTGCAAAGGGCCTGGGTCCCTCACATCTCTGAGGCCCCAGGTGATGCCAATACCTGGCTCCACTGCACGGCTCTCCCCGGGCAGGCGTTGCTAAGCCCTTCTCTGGAAAGCTGCAAGGAGAGGCTATTTGAGGGCATGGGGAGCTCCTGGGGAGAGTCCCGCTGGAAGGGAAAAGGTGGATCCTGTTAATTAATTATCCCTCAAACCACCTGTCCTTAAAAGCAGGGCGTGCAGGCCAAGGTGGCGAGCGAGCTTAGCGAGAGGAGAGGAGCTGTGAAGCAGGTCTCTGAGCCCTGGAGGCCAAGGACAGTTTACTGGGCCACGGATTTTAGACTAAAGAGACAAGGGTGAGTACGGGGTGGCAGGGTGGCACCGCTAGCTGGGGCACGTGCAGTGAGACAGGAGTTTGGGCCAAACATTGCCTGGGGCTCTGGGCCCCGGGAGGGTGAGGGTCCTGGTGGGTTTAGGAGGTTTGTGGATCCCCAGTAGTGAGTGCCAGGTTTTGAGGGTATATGCATCATTCCAGCAAGGGGTCTCAAGGAGGGGTGGTAAGGGGCAGTGGGGTCTGGGCTTAGCTGCCTGGGGTTTAAGCATTTCCCACACAGATCCAGTTTGTGCCATTCATTTTGTTCCTTGGCGTCTCTCTACAGTGAGGCTTAATGGTGGTGCTGTCCCAGGAGAGCCAGTTTGAGAATTAAGTCAGGTGGTACCTATGAGGAACCCGGACCCGAGCCTGGCTGGAGGCAGTGCTGATCCAAATTTATTTATTTATTTTTAAAGACTTTATTTGAGAGAGAGAGTTACAGACACAGAGATGGAGAGACGGAGAGAAAGGTCTTCCATCTGATGGTTCATGCCACAGTGGCCACCAAAGCCAGGCGCCAGGAGCTTCTTCCGGGTCTCCCACACAGATGCAGGGACCCAAGCACTTGGGCCATCCTCCACTGCTTTCCTAGGCCATAGTGGAGAGCTGGATGGGAGGAGCAGCAGCCAGGGCTCAAACCAGCACCCATATGGGATGCCGGCACTGCAGGTGGAGGCTTAGTTTACTATGCCACAGCGCAGGCCCCATGGATCCAGATTTAGCTGTTGATGGTTCTAGGGGACTTCAGGAAGTTCGGGGGGGAAATGGAGTTAAAAGATACGTTTATTGTGGTGCAAAAAGTGGTTTTGAAATCCATGGATGATTTTTTTCATCACATGCAAAATTTTCATAAACTTTTAAAAGACCCCCTCATAGGCATGGGTTTCAGATGCCTTGGACACCAAAGCAAGACTTCACTTTTTTTTTTTTTTTTTTTTGACAGGCAGAGTGGACAGTGAGAGAGAGAGACAGAGAGAAAGGTCTTCCTTTGCCGTTGGTTCACCCTCCAATGGCCGCCGCGGCCGGCACACCGCGCTGATCTGATGGCAGGAGTCGGGTACTTCTCCTGGTCTCCCATGGGGTGCAGGGCCCAAGCACTTGGGCCATCCTCCACTGCACTCCCTGGCCACAGCAGAGAGCTGGCCTGGAAGAGGAGTGACCAGGACAGAATCCGGCGCCCCGACCGGAACTAGAACCCAGTGTGCCGGCGCCGCAAGGCGGAGGATTAGCCTACTGAGCCGCAGCGCCGGCAAGACTTCACTTTTCATTCTGTTTTCCACAAACCTTGGCGAGTCCCTCATACAGTATCCCTGCCCTCCAGCACAGCTTTGCTTCCATGGTTTCTGTTACCCGGGGCCATCTGCAGTCTGAGAACATTAAATGAGAAACTGCAGAAGTACGCAACTGATAAGTTTTCAGTTGTGCGCCATTCTGAGTGGTGTGATAAAAGCTTTTATTACGTACACTGTCATAGCTGTTCTACTTTATCTGTGATCATTAATCTCTTGCCGTCTCTTGTAAGTCGTCTTTAATTCTTCTGTGTATTCCAGGCATATAGTAGTCATCTGCAGACAGTGCGGGGAAGAGAAACAGAGGTTATGTAAGGGACACTCAAACACAGTTAGGGACAGACGTTTGGACTAGCGGTTGAGGCGCCAACTGGGACTCCTGCTGGATTTGAGGGCCTGAGTTTGACTCCCAGCTCCACTTCTGCTTGTAGCTTCCTGCTAATGCAGACCCTGGGAAGCGGTGGTGATGGTGCGAGTGATTGGGTCCCTGCCAACCACATGGGGACTTAGAGTTCCCTGCTCAGCTGCAGGCCCAGCCCGAGCCGTTGCAGGCATCTGGGGAGTGAACCAGGGATGGGAGCTCGCTCTCCGTATGCATCTCCCTCTCTGGCTCTCTCCCTTTCCCTGTCTCTCTGCCACTGAGATACTGACAGGAGGCATTACTTCTGGTACTCTACAGTCTGGTCGGGTAACTAGTCTACAATAACTGGTGATCTATTCTGAAATAAATGGAAGAGCATGTAGGATGCTAACACAGGGAAGTGATTGACGTTTGAGGAGGTGGAAGTGCCTGCTACCCCGATCTGATCACTACATGTTGCTGTAGGGATTTTCTAACCTCCGACCCCAGACAGCCACTGCTCTCATCTCCATCACTGCCGATTACTTTGGTTTGCTTGTCTCTGTAAGTGGAGTTTACAGGCTCTAATATTTCCAGTTTCCTTCCCTCTGTTGGCCTTGGCTGTCACAGCAAACTACTCGCTCCAATAGTTAGTCTTCTGCAGTAAATCTAGCTCTCCAGGGGGAGGAATAGGTACTACTTGTTGAAACATTGGTCCCATGTTGGTCACAGGGCTCCAGGTTGGGAGTTTTATCTTTCAGTACACTGTGTTCAGGTTTCCACTCTTGCTGAAGTCAGGTTTTGTTCTGTTTTATTAAGATTTATTTATGTATTTATTTGAAAGAGTTACACAGTGAGGAGAGGCAGAGACAGAGAAGTCTTCCATCCGATGGCTCATTCCCCAATTGGCTGCAATGGCTGGAGCTGCGCTGAACCAAAGCCAGGTGCCAGGAGCTTCCTCTAGGTCTCCAACGTGGGTGCAGGGGCCCAAGGACTTGGGCTATCCTCCACTGCTCTCCTAGGCCCTAGCAGAGAGCTGGATCGGAAGTGAAGCAGCTGGGTCTCGAACCTGCGCCTCAAGCCAGGCTTTTAACCCGCTGCGCCCCAGCCCCTGTTCTGTTTTTTTTTTTTTTAAAGATAACCTTTTGCCTAGCTTGCTTTATAGGTATTCTCTTTGTCTTGTATTCTGTAGCTTCACAATAACAGAAGTGTAGATTTCTTTATTCCAACTTGCATTTGGGCTTCTGGAATCTGTGCTTTGGTGGCGGATTATCCAGCCTTGATAGTATAGTGTGTTCAACCTGTTTCTGCCCCCCCCCCCATTTTTATTTCTGGACTTGAAATAAGTGTGTACATGCTTTAGACCATCTCATATCCTGTCTCCTGCTTTCTCTTGACTTCATGCTTCATTCTAGAGTTTCTTCTTCCCGTTTTCTCTTTAGCTGCTGCTAATTCCCACTAAACCCTTCCATCGAGGTTTTCCAGTTTTGGTTATTGCCTTTTAACTTACAGAATCTCTCATTTTCTTTCACATCTGATTTTAATAGCTTGTACCTTTCAACTCCTTCAACAGAAAAGCAGTATTTTACAGTCTGTTCCCAAAGCTAGGCTTCCAGTGTCTGTGCTGGTTTTCTTATTCTGGTTACTCATGTACCTGGATAGTCTGTGTGCTGAACGCTATATTTGAAAATGATTCTTTTTATTTTGCATTTTATTTGGAAGGGAGGGAGAAGGAAGAGAAAACTGAGGGAGAGATGTTCCACCTACTGGTTCTTTCACCCAATGTCTGCATCAACCAAGGCTGGGCCAGGTCAAAGCCAGGAGCCAGGAACTGAGTCATGGTCTCCCACATGTACGGCAGAGACCCAAGTGACTGGGCCGTTCCTGGCTGCCTCCCAAGGTGTGCATCAGCAGGAAGCCGGAATTGGAAGTGGAGGCAGGATTCCATCCCAGGCGCTCCCGTGTGGCATGTGGGCTTTCCAAACAACAACTTAACCACCATGCCACATGCCTGCTCCTGAAAGATGACTCTTTGAGAAGCTTAGTCCTGAAGCAACGGCTTCTAGAATATCCACTGGCTTCTGCCAGGGACTTTGTGCCACCACAGTACAGGGTGCTTTTCATCCAGTTTCAGAACGTGAGACTCTGTGGCATTATGTGACGTGAAGCCGGACTGCAGTGCATGCCGGGACTGACTTTCTGCTTCATCCCAGGGCTAATGTGGGAGGTCTTGGTCTCAATTCTGGCTCTTCTGTGGAGCCCTGGAAGTTACTTGTTTTCTTTGTGCTTCAGTTTTATCACATCTAATTAAAATAAGTCTTCTCGTCTTACAGATGGAGAAACTAATGGTCAGACCAGGGAGATAATTCCTCAAATGTCCTAAATTGATGAGCAGCAGCTATGTGATAGATCCTTGTCCTACCAGAGCTTCAATTTTGGCACTTATATTTAAGGACCTATTTTCCCCCAACACTTGACTTTCTTCCACGGGCATATAAAGGAGATTCTATCATTATGCTTGCCATATCAAGAAAGAATTTGAGTAGGGTTAGAGTATTGAGACGCAAGAGGAGGTTGGTGTCTGGAAGGAAGGTTGGAAGAGGAAGGCAGAGTTCTAAGGGATGGTGGGGAACTGGGAAAGTGACATTAGGAGTGTCCCAGTGTGAGTGACATACCCGTGAGCTGGCATGGCAGTTGAACAGCTGGATGGCCTGTCTCTCCTCCACTGCCCTTCCTCACCTTCTGCTCTTCAAGGTCTACCCCATGGCCTCATCATAGGGGCGGTTGGCACCAACTCGGTTGATCTTGAGATACTGTTACAGAAATCTGAGGTGGGAAGACTCCCTTTGTTCAAATAAGCATCAGAGACAGTGGAGGATTGAAGTAGTGTATTACGCCAGTGGGCTCAGCTGGAATCATTTCCCGAGAACTGAGCGACAGTCCCAAGTTTTTTATATTTATAGGTTCATCAGCATCACACCTTAGCTGTTCCAGCATTGGTGGGTTTAGATTGCGGCCTATGTGACTTAGGACCACACTCCCAATGGCCTGGTATATTTGTAGAAGAGATTCCAGGGGCAGTTGTTAGGACAGATTTGTTTTCAGAAGCAGAACTTAGGACTTCTTCCCTCCATAGACAAGATCCCAGTGGGCAGCTGCTTCACTAGTTCATTGCAAACAGCCACTTTTCAAGGTCTGTGTTGGGAGGAGGGGTCTGCTTCTCTTTCTTTGTCAATGGTTGTGGCCGTATTTCCTCTACAACACTACTTCTAGCTGCCAGAGAACCCCTGAGTGCGCACTGGGAGGTAGGTGGCAGAAGACTGACGACTACTGAAACCAAGGTTATGTCCAAGAAGATTTGCAGAACAGATTGTTTACACTCCAACGCCATATGGCTTTGAGCTGAGGTGCAGGGGCATCGTGGCCTCTGTGGGTGAGGGTCACTTTCAGTGGACTCCCCCTTCCCCAGATGAAAGGCAGGTCTTGGTGAAGGTCCAGCTTCTAGGTCCCCTCCTGGCATTGCTGCGGGCTCACTTCTCAAAAACCACGTTTACCAGGACAATATATTTCTTCCCCTTACTTGCCCCGGCCCTCATCTTCTGCCGCTGACCTGCCTGGGGAGGCTGTCATTACAACTGCCTCCCTCCTCTAACGCTGACCTCCAGGTTCCCCACCCCATCCTGTTTCCTGTGTAGCTGGAGTCCCTGGCCGAGGGCTTGGTTATGTGGGATACCTAGCGGGACCTTGTTAACAGCAAGAACATCCAGGGCCAGACGTCGGAGAGCCTGTAATCCAGCTGTAACTAGAATTGCTGCTTAAATTCTGGGCTCCTGGGATGGGCTGACTGACACGGAAGAGCTGTCACACCTTTGATTTCCTTTGTTGTTATGGTGACCAGGACAAAGACACTCATTATGTGAGTCCAGCCCGGGAAGGAACCCCCTGGTGACTGCAGCTTTGTGCCTATTAGAGGAAGCTTAGCACGGCCATCTTGACCTGGGTGATGACCATCTTTTGGAAAGCCAAGTCAAAGGAATCCCACTTGGCCCCCTGACCAGCTCCGCATAGTACTCAAGTATTTTTGACAGACAGTGTGACCTACCTAGCTCCAGAGTTCGGAGCCCCATTAGGTAGACCTGTAACTTCTAGGAGAGGGAGTTGGAGCCAGATCAAAGCTTTTGCTTGTGAAACAAAGGATTAGTCTAGACATAAATGCTTATTTTGGTTCAATTTCCATCTCAATATGTTCTAACACTGGCGAGTGAACTTCTTTGTATCACTGTTGATGAAAATGTGGGATCCTAAGTCAAGATTTGGCACAGCTGTGTCCTATGGCTTCCATTTACCATTCCTCCATCTTCCCTGGCCCAAACCTCATTCATAGTTCATTTCTTCTTCACTGATTTGGTAATATCCCTGGGGGTGTGCCTGTCTTACACATCAACTATGTTGCTTACCTATGTGCTGGGCACTGTGCTAAGGGTTGACCTGGGAAGATACTGGACAAGTAACGATATTAAAAGTCATTCAGGAAATGTATAGGTCGCTGTGGGAACATCTCAGGCAGACTGAAAATAGCTTGGAATGGCTGGGCAGAGTGTTTTGCTGCTTTGCAGTGCAGGTGTCATAAACCTGTCAAGCAACAGGGTTCTATACATGTGGGAGGATGTTAGCATTGGTGGAAGGGGTGTAAGTCTAGATTTCTATAGAAAAGATAGGGGTCTTGGTAGCTGGTGATGTGAGGATTGTCTTAAAGAATTAAAAGCAGCTGTTTGCCTCCACTTTCCTTACCTCCTGGGTTCTTGCTATCTAATTTTTGTAGTTGATTCTTTGAGGTTTTAAAAAGCTGTTTCTTGCTATTTTGACTTCTTTCCAGAAAGAAGTTATCTGAATCATCTCAAGTTCTCCAAGTATTGTCCTGGGAACTTGCTAGAAATGAAGATTCTCAGGTTTTCACCCCAGAATCCAATCCAGGGGGGAGGCTTTGCCATCTGTGGCCTGACAAGCCCTCCAGGTGATCCTGGCTGCTGGTGATGGCCAGGGTTACTGGTGAGTTACCAGTAAGGCCCAAGGCCGCTGTGACAGCTAGTAGTGTGAAGGCATCTACAGAAAGCCGTGTGAGGTAGGAGAGAGGCTGGAGAGGCCGAGTACCTGTAGGGCCAAGGTGAAGGTAACCAGGTGTGAAGAAGGGCTGCTGTTCTCGGGCAGGCTCGGCAAACTTCGCCTGTCGAAGATGAGAGAGCAGGTGGGCAGCGTGGGCCATATCGTCTCTCCCAGCTCTTCAGCTCTGCACTGTATGGTAAAAGCAGCCACAATCAACACATACATAAAGGACACTGCTATGTTCCCAGTAAAACTTTAGCTACAAAACAGGGGGACAAGCTGGATGCTTTGGCCTTCAAGCAATAATTTATTGATTTTTTTTTTTTTTAAGAAAAATGATTCTGCTGGCACCACGGCTCACTAGGCTAATCCTCCCCCTTACGGCGCCGGCACACTGGGTTCTAGTCCCGGTCGGGGCGCCGGATTCTATCCCGGTTGCCCCTCTTCCAGGCCAGCTCTCTGCTGTGGCCCGGGAGTGCAGTGGAGGATGGCCCAAGTACTTGGGTCCTGCACCCCATGGGAGACCAGGAGAAGTACCTGACTCCTGCCATTGGATCAGCGCGGTGCACCGGCCGCAGCGCACCGGCCACGGTGGCCATTGGAGGGTGAACCAGGAGGAGGCGCCTGGCTCCTGGCTTTGGATTGGTGCAGCCATTTCGGGGGTGAACCAACAGAAGGAAGACCTTTCTCTCTGTCTCTCTCTCTCTCACTGTCCACTCTTACCTGTCAAAAAAAATTTACTCAGTGTTCTGGTTATTGTTTTGAAGGAGCAGAATCCCTTTTTGAATTCGGGACCCAACAAAGCAGGGGCCCCTCCACTGGGGCACAAGAGGAGTAGCCCAGGGTCTGCCTGTTCAGTTCTCCCTTTCCTTAAGGGGGTCCCCAAGGCTCTTCTTCAGCACCTATTCTAATGCCTCTAAAGTAGAGGGGTCTAGAGTCTGGGCTTGGGTCCACTTAAGCACTGCCCTTGCGTGAATGATTCCTGAACCCCCCTGAGCTGCTAACCAAAGGATGGGCTGGCAGGAGCGAGTAGACCAGGCTGTGATCACACCTGTCCCTGGTCGAGCCTGGACCTTAGGGTCAGGGAGAGTCCCCTCTGGTGTAGAACATGCTCTCTCTCTCTGCAGGTTCCAGCTGGCCTGCTGAGGCTAATACAAATACCTGGAGGATGAGTCACCGGCCAGACACCCCCACTGTCCCCCGTGGCCAGACAAGGAGCCAGTTCCTGAGAGAGCAGAGGGTCTGTACCGACCTTCTGGAGATGATCCGGCACTTACAGCAGTCCCTGAAGGAGCACTTTACGCAGCTGACAACCTGGCAAATGCAGGGGCTGTTGTCGTTGGAACAGAGGCACTCTGGAGCCATCTGTAAGCAGGAAGACCTCCTCGATGACCTGATGTGCAAGATGGTCAACCTGCTGGGGTCTGAGGCCGTGAGTGGCCTGGGGCTCCGCCCGCCTCTCCCTGTCCTGGATTCTCAGGCTGCTAACAGGGGTGTGCGGAGGGTATCATCACCTCAGCAGGCTGACCAGCCGGTTCCCCAGCAGAGGGACTCAGAAGCCACACTTGTCAGCCATGACCTCTCCAGCCGTGGAATCGAAATCTCTGTCTCTTACCACCTGGACTTCCAGGACTATGAAGCCTACCAGAGAGACAAATACCACAAAGTCAAGAACACCTTGGTAAGGACTGGGGCAGGGAGTACCCGAGGGCCCCAGTCACTAAGAGTCGCTGACTTCTGTGCCCAGTACTGTTCCTTTCACTCTTCACGTCCTATGGTGCCTCCTTGAAGGTAAGGGAACAGTCGCAGAAATCGGGTGACGTGTGCCAGAAAGTTGGCGAGCTGAAGGCTGATTCGCTTCACCCCAACAAGTGCTACCGAAATCCCAGCTCTTGGCCACTAGGAGCTAGTCACTCTGGTCACAGTGGTACGTGAGTTCCTTATGGAACTTGGCATAATGGTGAATGTGGCCAACTAGAGGGGAAATGAGCATTAATAATGTGTCCAAGCGTGCTGAAAGGATGCCTACTTTGGGTGTCTGGGCAGGTGTCTTAAAGACTGAACCAGGGCCGGCGCCATGGCTCAACAGGCCTCCGCCTTGCAGCGCCGGCACACCAGGTTCTAGTCCCGGTCGGGGCGCCGGATTCTGTCCCGGTTGCCTCTCTTCCGGGCCAGCTCTCTGCTATGGCCCGGGAGTGCAGTGGAGGATGGCCCAAGTGCTTGGGTCCTGCACCCCATGGGAGACCAGGAGAAGCACCTGGCTCCTGCCTTCGGATCAGCATGGTGTGCCGGCTGCAGTGCGCCAGCCGCAGCGGCCACTGGAGGGTGAACCAACGGCAAAGGAAGACCTCTCTCTCTGTCTCTGTCTCTCTCTCTCACTGTCCACTCTGCCTGTCAAAAAAAAAAAGACTGAACCAGACAATCCTGGGAGGTGGTAGTACCCCAGGAAGGGGGAGCAGCATACATAGAAGTTTTCAGCTGGCGAGGGTTTGGTGTGATTGGGAAGGAAGGCCCACGACGAGAGGGACATGAGTGCAATAGCAAAACCAAGGATAGCCACGGAGGGATGCGTGATGGTGATGGGGCATGCATGATGGTGACATGGTTCCCAGTGAAGGAGGCCCACAGCAGGTCTCTAGCCAGAGGGCAGAGGATGGCACAAGCCATGCCTTCCCTCCTGTTCCCATCCCCCAAGTGAGGTGTGGCCAGTGACCATCTGCTTTTCTGGGAGCTGAGTCAGTTGTCTCCACACTGAATCTCCTTCAGTAACCTGGAGGTCCCCATGTGTAAGGAGAAATGGCGGAGATGAGTACTAGGTAGGGCCTGTGGTGGTCAAGGGGTCTGGATTCTGGGGTCTAGCAGGTGAATCTCTGCCCATCACCAAAGGTCACACAGCTCGAACGGTACTGAACTCTTGCAAATTTCCTACTCGGGATCACGCAGAACCTTCTTCCCAGGAGTTGAGACAGTTCATGTAAAGACTTGTCTAATGTCTTGCGCATAGTAAGAACTCAATGACTGGTAGATAAACATAATGTAACCTTTAATTATCTATGGAGACTCTAAATGGGAGGAATTTGCAAGCTTTAAGACTGGATTCATGGAAAGTTTGCTAACACTTCAAGTTGTGAAACGCAGGTTGAAAAAGCCTCGTGGGGGAGTGAGATCTCTGAAGCAAGCCAAGCTGAGTACTTACTGATATGTTTGAAGGCGTCCATAAAGGGTGGGGCAAGAGGGCTAATCTCAGTTCCTTCCATCTCCAGGGCTTCATTAACCTTGGCACCAGTGAGAACAAACTCTGCACCTATCTGCTGACTGAAAGGGTGAGTTGTGTACTGGGCTGTGCTGAGCCTCGCCCACCAAGCCCTGTCCCCCTAGAATGTCTCTTGGCATGTGGTAGATGGAAGAGTGGGACACAGGAGTTTGGGAAAGGAGGGGAAGAGATACTTGTAGAACAGTACATCTAACTTCCCGGCCATGCTGAGTGTGTCTAAGGGTATTCTCTGGTTAAGTAAAGGTAGATAGGCTGCCTGTGGAGTGTCTACACTGGGGCGGTTATCAAATACTTCCCAGTGATGTGCCTATGGCACTTGTGTAATGTATGTCGAGAAGAAAAGAGCCGGCTGGCGCCGCGGTTCACTAGGCTAATCCTCCGCCTTGCAGCGCTGGCACACCAGGTTCTAGTCCCAGTCGGGGTGCCAGATTCTGTCCCGGTTGCCCCTCTTCCAGGCCAGCTCTCTGCTGTGGCCAGGGAGTGCAGTGGAGGATGGCCCAGGTTCTTGGGCCCTGCACCCCATGGGAGACCAGGATAAGTACCCGGCTCCTGCCATCGGATCAGCGTGGTGCACCGGCCGCGGTGGCCATTGGAGGGTGAACCAACGGCAAAGGAAGACCTTTCTTTCTGTCTCTCTCTCTCTCACTGTCCACTCTGCCTGTCCAAAAAAAAAAAAAAAGAGCCTCCATGCATTAAGGAGCAGGTAACAAGTACACCTGTTCCTCTCCTAGGAGGCCAAGTACATGTAGACAAACATTCTTGCATAAATCAGGAGTAGGTAGACCTCTTGGGCTGGCTGTCTTCATGCTCTGTTTGTCACAGCTGTGCCGGAGTGACATGAACCGCATGGAGAACATCCTACTGCAATATCCTGATTGGAGAGGGCAACCCTTGTAAGTGACCTCTGAGACCGAGGGTCTCCGCATCCATGGGCACCTATCCTTGTCCAGGGGAGGACTCGCAGTGCCAAATTCTTGGTTGGTTGCCTCCTGATTTCCTTGGGTAACAACTTCTAGGAAATACCTAGAGCTAAAGCTTGTCAAGAGGCAGCTTACTCTATGGTAGGAATAGCACTGTCCTCTAATGTAAAAGGCCCATGTTCTTGTCCCGGCTCTCTATCGTCTGTGTGGTCTTGGGTAATTGATAGCCTCAGTTGATAGTCTTGTAAAAAGAAGCAGGACTGGGTGGCAAAGATCGCTTTCATGTGGACACTCTGTCCTTTGAAGAAGATGGGAGTGCAGACCCTGAAGGAGGGTGGAGGCCTGGAACCACAGGGTCTTTGGGTCTGTCCACAGCCTGCGGAAAGAAGTGGCTTGTTTCCTGACCGACTACTGCCAGGCTCCGTCTCCCCTTGATCCCGAAAACGTGAGTCGGTTTCTCGGCCTCCTGCCACCCTGCTGGTGGGCTGTGCTTTCCCAGGTTGCAGCCTTCCTGCCACCCTGGTGGTGGGCTGCGTTCTTGGGAGACTGTGTTTTCTAGGGGATCTAGGGAGAACCCGTGGAGATTTTGAGGGCCAAGGTAGAGTGAAAGCCAGTGGGTCCCAGCTGGAAGGCTGTTGGTGGCTGTCCCTTCTGGGCCAGGGAGGCAGCATGGCTACACCTTCCACAGGTACTGTTTTGTGACTTCTGCTTCTTGTGCATTGTTGTTAGGTGGTTATTCTTAATGGCTGCTACTCCATCTTCTCTGCATTGGCCATGGTTCTGTGTGATCCAGGGGGTAAGTAGATGGGCTCTGCTTTCCGTCTCGGCACAGTACTGGCATCTGGGCAGGAGTACACAGGCACCAGGCTTTGGGGGGAAGAGTATCTTGACACAAGTCCTTTACCCCAAGTGCTAGGACATCTCCTATACTTAGGACGACTTCGTGTTATTTCTAGGGGAGCAATGGACTTAGATTCTACACTCACTGTAGAAGGGAAGCATAGAACAGTCTTCAAGGATGTGTACTCCAGGAGCCATGGCAATGGAGGCCATCCCCTCATACTGATAGTTGGGCTTTGGGGCCAATGGCAATGCAGGAAGCCCTAGTAAATGGTTTAGACTATATAGACTTCTTACCTCCTCAAAAAAGGCTAATTATAGTGAGTTTTGGACCAACTAAGGCTGAAAGGCCTGTTCTCTATCTCCCTCTTAACAATGCCCAAGGGGCTGGTGCTGTGGCACAGCAGGTCAAAGCCCTGACCTACAGCACTGGCATCCCATATGGGTGCCGGTTTGAGTCCTGGGCTGCTCTACTTCTGATCCAGCTCTCTGCTGTGGCCTGGGGAAGCGGTGGAAGATGGACCAGGTCCTTGGGCCCCTGCACCCACGTGGGAGACCCAGAGGAAGCTCCTGGCTCCTGGCTGTGGATCAACTCATCTCTGGCTATTGCAGCCATCTGGGGAGTGAACCAGCAGATGGAAGACCTCTCTCTAGCCGGACTCGGGCCTAGGGTGCTGAGCCATTTACAGCACTATTCTTCCCCTTTCTTCTCTAGTAGTGTCCCCCCGAAGAGGAAACTAGAGTTCTGTTCCCTGATGTCTGTAAGAATGGCTGAGCGCAGCAGCATGAGCCCCTGGGGAGAAGGGACTGCCAGGCTGACCATCCCTGTTGGTAGCTTTGCTGCTGGTCTGACGACCAGCGCCTCCTGCTGGAGGGGACCTGACCTGACACCTCTGTCTCCCTGTGCTTCCAGAAGCCTTCCTGGTCCCCACCCCCTTCTTCGGTGGCTTCATCTTTAGCTCCAACCTGTACGCGAGAGTTGAGCTGATTCCCGTCCACCTAGAGAGTGAGGTCAGAAGGGGGCTCTTCCCTGCTCGGCCCACCTGGGCAACGAGGGGATCTAGGGCCATTTAGAAGGGGCGTGGGACCTTTCCTCTCCATCTGTGAGTGACGGTGGGGGAGGGGTGAGGAAACAAGAGTGCACGAGGCTTGTGGTGCCGGCAGCCCGGGGTGAAGGCGAAGGCTTGTCTGGACTAGTGGGAGTGGGGGATCGAGGCCACTCTCCATGTAGGCATTCCTCAGCTGTGTTTCTCTTCCAGGTCTCTGAGAACACCCATCCTTTTCAGCTCACTGTGAACAAGTTGGAGCAAGCCCTGGTGGAAGCCAGACTGAAGGTAAGGGGAGAAATACTGTTTTCAGGGTGGCTACTACTGGTGGTGGACGATGTTGCATATCAAATCTCTGATACAAGTTGTTCACCGGGGCGGACGCTGTGGAGTAGCGGGGAAAGCCGCTGCCTGTGGTGCCGGCATCCCATATGGGTGCCGGTTCTAGTCCCGGCTGCTCCGCTTCCGATCCAGCTCTCTGCTATGGCCCAGGAAAGCAGTAGAAGATGGGCCCCTGCACCCATGTGGGAGACCTGGCAGAAGCTCCAGGCTCCTGGCTTCAGATCAGCCCAGCTCCGGCCATTGCAGCCAACTGGGGAGTGTACCAGCAGATGGAGGACACCCCCCTCCACTGTGTGTGTGTGTGTAACTCTGACTTTCAAGTAAATAAATCTTAAAAAAAAAACTCACCAAGACGTGGTGGGCTCTCTCGAGTCGGGAGAGACTGACGGATACAGGGGCATGTCTCCGTAGCCACACAGACCCCATTGTTCCCCCTCTGGGGACGTGATGCTATTCGCTGCTTAGAGATCCTGCCGAGCCTTCTTGGCGTCACCTACCAGATGTCCTGTCCCGTAAGGCTGCTTGGCTGGCTGGGGAGTCGATAGAAAGGGCTTGCATTCGCTCAGTGGCATTTGGGTTCTTTTTAGCGGAAAAAGGTCAAAGGCCTCATGCTCGTCAACCCCCGGAACTGTCTGGGTGACGTCTGCTCCCGGGACTCGCTGCAGGAATACCTGGAATTTGCAAAGAGGTAAGAGTTTCACCGCTTGAGACTATACGGGACCCCTAAAAGGGTTCCCATCACTTCTGGTTGCCGCAGAACCAGAGCTAAATATCCTTACCATACACTATAGAGCGTCATACAACGAACTGAAAGGGAAGGTACCCACGTGTTTACCACTTCAGTCCATGTGGTTTGTTTTGTTTTGTCCTTTCCTTGCTAGCTTTTGCCCATGTAGAGTGAGAACCACAAGTGATACTTCTGTGGCTGTCCTCGGGCCTCCATTTCCCAAGGCCCTCGGGCTGAGGTGCCGAGGAAGACAGGCCCTGAGGTCTTGAGGGGTGACGGCGTGCTCCTATAGAATGCTGATCGCTAACGTTCAGTCAGCCACTGGAATCCTCAGGCAGCCCTGTCGGGGCAGGCAAACTTCCGTCTTCCAGAAGAAACAGCCGTGTCTCAGCCTCCTGACTCGCCCAGATTCCTAGTGGCAGAACACGGGGACGGGAGGAAGGATGCAGAGCTCACTGAGCAAGACTTCAACATGGCCGGGAGGAGGGCCCAGCTCCAGCATCTGCTCACGGAAGGGATTCCCTTCACATCTTGGAGTCTTACGGGTTTTTTGTTTCTTTTGTTTTTCATCCGTGAAAGGGAGACAACTGTGGAGAGGACTGTTGGGAGAATCGGTGAGATGATGTGTACATGCACACTTGGTGCCAGACTGAAACCGTCTTGGGCACCCAGCCGCCTCCCATTGGTCTCCTCTTGGTGGTTGAAAGGTTAAATAAGTTATCGTGTATGTCTGTGTTACCCCCAAGCCAGGCTCCAGGGTCCCTGGTGGCCTATCATCTCAACCTTGCAAGGGCTGCATGGCTGCTGGGGAAGTCAGCGTATCTGATCTCTATCCAGAGAAGACCATAAAGTGAATGAAGATTGGGAGGACAAGCTAGATCCTGCTCGCTCGCTCGCTCGCTCTCTCTCTCTCTCTCTTCCACCCAATACAGGAACCGCCTCCATGTGATTGTGGATGAGAGCTACATGCTCTCTGTGTTTGATGGATCTGCCACATTCCACAGTGTCCTGAGCCTAACCAGGTGAGCTGGGCTTAGCTAGAGTTGGGAATGAGAACCACGCGATCCCCGCTTTGTAGGATGTTGCTGTCTGCTAGTAACTGAGTTAGGTGGGGGTGGATACAAGCAGAGCATCGTCTCCCTCCCAACTGTCCCCCAAATGCCATTTTGTATACAAGATTACTTGAGAGCAAGGTAGAAAGTGGACCATCAAAGGTTAAGATACAGTCCCAAAGCCAGTCAGGGTGTTCCTGCAGAGCACCGGAAGAGCACAGAGCAGGGCAGATTTCGAAAGCTTAATATTTGGCTCCAGGGGTGAGAGTCCAGCAAGGCCAGGGAAGGGCATCTTAGCAGAAGGAACAGCTTCACAAAGGTGAACATGAAGAAATAGGTGAGGGGGGAACATTTGACACCGTGGTTACGACACTGCTTGGGACAACTGCCTCCCGGATTGGAATGCCTGGTTCCTGTCCCAGCTCCTGCCCTTCCAATTCAGCGTTCAGCTAATGCATACCCCGGGAGGGGGCACACGATGGCTCAGGCACATGGGTCCCTGTCACCCACCTGGGCTACCTGGATTGAATTCTGGACTCCTGGCATGGCCTTGGCTTAGTCCTAGCTGCGTGTGCACATTTGAGGACTGAACCAGCAAATAGGAGATCTGTGTCTCTTTTTCTCTGTCTTTCAAATACAATGAAATTAAAATTCTCTAGGAAATGCTCACATATTCTTTTTAAATGGTGGTTGGGGGTGAGCATTTGGCCTCATGGTTAAAACACCCGTGTTCCACATCGCAGTACCAGGGTTTAATCCCCAGCTGCCCTCCCGGCTCCAGCTTCCTGACAATACAGATCCTGAGAGTTGCCAAGTGAAGCTTCAAATAATTGGGTTCCTGCCACCCAAGTGGGAGACCTGCATTGCATTCCTAGCTCCTGACTGTGGCCTGGCCCTGTCCTAGCCATTGTGGGCCTTTAGGGATGGGTGCTCACCATGTCTGCCTCTCAAATGAAAAAATAAATATTAGAAAGGGTTTGTAGCCCTTATCTGAAGAGCCAACTGCCAAGAAGGTAGCTTTGGACCAGGTGCAGGAGAACCACAAGTCAGACTGAGGGTCCAGGCTGTCATTCGATGAGTTCTTCGGGGGTGACTTGTGTTGACTTCCTGGCCTAACTGGAGCAGCCATTTCTTGAACATTGGGACCCTTAGAGAGCAAGGTCTAGGAAGTAGCACAATTCCATCTTCCCATTTCTGCTCAAAGACCCCACCCGAGTTTCCATCCTTCAGCTATTTCTCCCTAACTTTGGCTTTTGCATTTATTCTCTAGTTTGCCGGACCCCAACAGGACTCATGTGATCTGGGGAACTAGTAAGGTGAGCCCCAGTTAGCATCCTTGAAGGAAAGGGAGAAGGGACCAGAAGGCAGACAAGTCACATGTGGCCTCCTCTACCCCTCTTCCTCTAGGATTTTGGCATCTCTGGCCTTCGCTTGGGGGCTCTATACACCCACAGCAAGGGCGTGGCCTCTGCTGTGTGCTCCTTTGGCTGCCTCCATGGTACCTCTGGCGTCACCCAGTACAAGCTGTACCGACTGCTCCAGGACAGAGGTACTGAGCTCCAGCCCCAGGCCAGCGTCTCGGACGGACCTCAGGGCCAGCAGGAGTCATTAGATGGGCTTGGGCTTCTGATGTGCCCTCAACTGAGTTTATCCTGCGCCACAAATTTAACCATGGCAGGATGTGAAGTCTGGAGGAGGGCAGGACACAGCTTAGATAGGGCAGTGGAATATGGGTAGAAAGTGGAGGTCTTGTTCTACGACACAGGATGGGCTTTAAATTGCCGAACTCTACCAGGAAACAGTCAGCCCTGCTCTAAGACCTGCAAGTGGGAACTTCAGAAACTGGCCTTGACGTGACTGTCTGTTTTCGCTCCCCAATACCCTGCTTACTTCAGGCAAAGGCAACAAAGGAACGCCCTGATTCTTCTAATAGAATTTAATGTCATCTTCCCAGGAGGCTGAAGAGCTGTCCTTCAGACGAGTTGGTGTCCCGAGGTCTATAGCACCTCGATTTCCCCTCCCCACTTGGGTCTCGCGTGAATGCTGGCCTTGGACGGAACTGCCCCCTTTAATGCCATGGCCCAAGCCTGGAAGAAACCCCCTTTTAAAAATTCCTTGTGCTAGGACCGAGCCAGGCTGGAAGGTTAAATGATAGCTGTGATGTCCTGAAAGAGTGATCATTAGCAACTTGCTTTCGGCTTTGAGTAGAAAAGAGTACAGATCAGGTAAAGCCCACAGGATGCTTCCCTACGTGGTGCTAAGCTCCTCGACACTTGTCAGAAGTCAGATCCTAGCCCATGGATCTCTGGGTCTCAACCTTGGGTGCACCTTGGAATTGCTTGGGGAGCTTAAGTATTAAAAAAAAAAAAACTATCTGAAAGACAGAGGTGGGCCAGGTTGTGGTATAACAGGTTAAGCCTCCATTTGCAATGTTGACATTCCATACTGGAGCACAAGTTTGAGCCTTGGATGCTCTGTTTCCAATCCACTTCCCTGGTAACGTGCCTGGGAAAGTCGCAGACGATGGCCTAAGTACTTGTGTCCCTTGCCAGGGAGACCTAGATGGAGTTCCAGCTTCCTGGCTTTGGCCTGGCCTAGCCCTTGCCATTGTATCCATCTGGAGAGTGAGCCCAGCAGATGAAAGATCCCTCTCTCTTTGCCTGTCTCTCTCTGTCTCTCTCTCTCTCTTTCAATTAAATAAGTAAACAAACCTTTAAAAAGATGCAGAGAAACAGACACAGAGAAAGATCTTCCATCTACTGGTTCATTCCCAATATACACAACAGCTGAAGCTGGGCCAGGCCGGAGCCAGGAGCCTGGAACCCAATCTCTGCTTCCCACATGGCTGGCAGAGACGGCTTGAGCCGTCCCCTCTGCTTACCGAGAAACACATTATCAGGAAGCTGGATACGAGGAGATAGGTCTCGCTCAGACACTCTGATACGGGATGTGGGCCCGCCAAGTGGTGTCTTAACCGCTTGGGAGGCTTAAATGTCGATATGTGGGCTCCATTCTCAAGGATCCCGATTTAGAAGATCGAGGGGTATATCCTGGACACCAGAGCTTCCAGAATCCCTCCAAGAAGTTCTATCACACTGCCAGTGCTGCACACATCTCCAGGCAAGTCCAGGTGCCTCCAAGTCCTCTGTGTGAGGCAAGAGGCGCAGTGAGTTCTATGTGCAGTTGATGACATTAGCAGCAAGCCCTCCAGGGGTACCCCGACTCCTTGTCTCAGGGGTATCAACTCGATGGCCCTGCTAGACCATAGAGAAGCCTGATGTCTCCCCCAGAGCCATGGATAAGAGGGTGAGTGTGTTGGATGGAAGCCATTAGCTCGGGTATCAGGCAGAGTCTGTGCCGGTTATAGAAATTCCTTGCAGGAAGTCTAGTCGGGGAGCACTGGGGAAGGACCCCTGAAAGCTCTGGCACGAGGTCTGAGGTGGCCCTCTCCTCCCACCTCTCCAGAATGGATTGACAAGGTATACCTGCCCACTAATCGCTCCCGGCTCCAGGATGCTTACAAGTACATCACTGACGAGCTGAAGGCATTGGAGGTCCCCTTTCTCAAGGGTGGCTCTGGGCTCTCTGTCTGGGTCAGCTTGAAATCGGTGAGTTCTGGCAGTGAGGACAGGCGTTCCTGGGTGGGCCTGCTGCGGCGGTCCTGGGCTCAGCTCCACTCCTGTGCCCTCCCTAGTACCTGGAACCATGCACATTTGATGGAGAGCTGGCCCTCCATCGGCGCTTCCTAGACAACAAGTTGGTGCTATCACGTGGCAAAAGCTTCAGGTGTGAGGAGCCTGGCTGGTTCCGCCTCACCTTTGCAGAGAAACCTTCCGAGCTGCAAGTGGGTGAGTGGTGCTGGCCCCCCAACCCTGGCCTCCTTACAGACACTGCTCTGTCACTGCATGCCTGAATCCTCCTGTCTCTCTCTCCTTTCATCTCCTCTCCTGCCCCACACACCAGCTTTGTGTAGCCCGGATGCCAGACCTCCTATATGGTTTCCGTTTTCATCTCCATGCTGCTTTGGAAACAGGAGCAGATACATTCTTCAAGTTCCTACGTTTTCATTCACAATACCTTTTGGGTATCCGTTCTGTGCCTGCCATTGAGTGAAGCAGTGGGACCATATGCTAACAAAGAAGCACTCTTCTAGGAGTGGGCATTTGGCTCATTAAGATGCCACTTGTGACACCCACATCTCAGTGCCTGGACTTGAGTCCTGGCTCCTGATGCACACCCTGGGAGGCACAGGTGATGGCTCAAATACTTGGGTCTCTGCCACCCATGGGGGAGGCCCAAATTGAGCTCCTGGCCCCTGGCTTTGGCCTGGCCTAGCCCCAACTGTGGTATGCATTTGGGGAATGAACCAGTAAATAGGAGACTGGTCTGTTTCTTTGCTTCTCAATAAACATTTTAAAAAGACAGCTTTTGCCTTGGGGACTGACTGTCTAGCTGGTGAGAGAGGTAGATGGCCATAGAAGTCCCTGTAGTTTCGTACTATAAAGCTCAGATTCTGCCCTGAGGGTATGACACTCGCGTAACAATTACCTGTTGCATGTCTGACAGTATGCTGGCCTCTGGCAATGCAGCAGTGCATCGTTCATTCTCACGAGCAGTTATGGAAAACGGTGAATGGAAAGACATTAGGGACAAACAAATCTCAAGGCCAAAGCCAAAAGCCAGGGCACAGGACTTGCTATGAGACATTGAAGCATCTGGCAGGCTGCTGATATGACAGTAAGTTCAAAAGCAAACCCGTCAGGGATATGGCAGGACTTGGAGGTGCATACCAAGGAAGACTTGCTGAGCAGCCGTGAGCCCCAGGGGCCCACCTGCAAATGCACTAATCCTTATTTCTGTCTCCATTCGGACCCCCTCTAGCCATGCATCGGTTCCGTCAGGTGCTAGAGGAGCAGAAGCAGGAATGGATAGTGAAGCAGCTGGCGGACGCCATGCGGGAGTAGGCTGCCGGCTTCCCAGCCCACGGCTCTCCCCGGTCACCTGCTCGGGGGCCCGTGGTCAGAGAGCGGCCTCTGGTCCTGAAGGCTGGGGTACTGGACTGTGGCTGTGACTGAGCAGATGTGGGCTCCTCCGGGAACGGCCTCATCTGACCCGCCATCAACCTCCTCAAGCTGAGCACCTGCCAGCTTTGGGAGCTTAGCGGCTTTTTAGTCTTGGCAGCCATTTTATATACAAAAACGGTGTTTTTATTGGGGTTGGGATGGGAAAGCCTGCAGGCACCTGGATGGACAAAGGGAGCTGTCTGGGTATCTATTTTAGATGGGTTCAGTTTTTAGATTGACTATCTAATAAATTCTGTATTCTCTCAAATTCCGGGACGTTTTCCTACTTACGTTCTCCATGAACGCCTTTGGGGGAGAGACTTCTGAGTTCTGAGGCAGGTTATGTATAAAGTTTGCTGTCAGGGCAGTAGAGAAGAGATGGAAAGAAGCAGTTCCTAGTGGATGACACAATTTCCAGGTGTTGGCTGCCAGGTTCCAGAGAATTCTCACAGGGTCACACCCACCGTGGCGGTGGCGGCGGCGGCAGGGTGTGTGTGTGTGTGTGTGTGTGTGTGTGCACATGTGTAATTGCAGGCACTTTTTCCAAAGCAGAGTTCTTTGCACTTCTGTATTTCCACGAGGCCTGAACATGACTGTGCAGTGACAAACTTAGTGTCTTGGCCTGTTCGTGCTGCTCTGACAATACCAGAAACTGGGTAGCTCATAATCAACCGACTTGGCTCAAGTCCAAGGTCATGGCCCTGGCAGATTCAACGTGTGGGGATGGCCTGTGTGTTCTCTGTCCCCTCCCAGGGCAGGAGGGCTGAGGAGTCTTCCCTCTGCCTGCAGGAGCCAATCACGCCTGCCCAAAGCCCTGCCTTCCTAAAACCATCGCCTCAGGAGTAAGGATTTCAATACCTGAATTTTAGGGGCCAGGTAAACATTATGTTCCGAGCACCTGGGATCTTCCGTTTCTATCTCGAGTGTTCTCAGCTGTTCAAGTCATACCCACCCCTGCGCATCTCTGCAGCGCCCTCACTCTGAAGCTGTGGGATGGGCAGAGCAAGGGTTACCTTTGTAGAGGACTGAAAAGCTCTCAGAATGCGAGTGTTTGGCCCAGCAGCTGAGACATCACCTGGGAGGCCCACACGCCTCTCTGAGTGCTTGGGTCCGAGTCCCAGTTCTGCTTCCAATTCCTCCTTCCTGCTGATGCACACCCTGGGGAGCAGCAGGTGCTGGCTCGAGTACTCGGGTCCCTGCCACCCACGTGGGAGATCAACATTGAGTTCTGGGCTCCAGATGTTAGCCTGACCTGGCCCTGGCATCTGGGAAGTGAACTGGCAGATGAAAGATCTGTGTGTTCTTGTCTCTCTGCTCTTCAAGTAATATGAAAAAAAAAAAAAGGGTATACAAAAACAAGACTATGCTCCTCAGGCTTACGTGTGGTGTTTTGGGAATTCTTTAAGATGGTGAGATGATCCCAAAGTGTTCCCACGTGGGGGTATTCGTGCATGCTTTGAGTGGAGAAGTTAGCAGCAGAACTGACATACATGAGGGTACTTCAAGAAGTTCATGCAAAAATGGAATTTGGAGGTTTTCTTGGTGCAAATGAAATTTTGACATCCATGCATAAGTTCTCCCTAAGATGCATTTCCCATGAACTTTTAGGAGACCCTTTGTATATGCTCCCATATGGGTGCCGGTTCAATTCCCAGCTCAAGTTCAGCTCCCTGCTAATGTGCCTGGGAAATCAATGGAGCATGGCCCAAGTCCTTGGGCCCCTACGCCCATGTGGAAGGCCCAGAAGAAGCTCCTGGCTCCTGGCTTCACGTTGGCTCAGCTCCAGTAGTTGCAGCCATTTGGGGAGTGAACCAGCAGGTGGAAGACCTCTCGCTCTGTCTCTACCTCTCTATGTAACTCTGTCTTTCAAATCTTTAAATAATTTGTGCCTCATGTAATGGCACAGATCATAAGTGTACTATTCAAGTTTCAAAACTTATAGTCAGGGACCAGTGCTGTGGCATAGTGGGTTAACGCCCTGACCTGGGGCACCGGCATCCCATATGGGCACCGGTTTGAGACCCGGCTGCTCCACTTCCAATCCAGCTCTCTGCTGTGGCCTGGGAAAGCAGTAGAAGATGACCCAAGTCCTTGGGCCCCTGCACCCACATTGGAGACCCAGAGGAGGCTCATGGCTTCAGATTGGCACAGCTCTGGCTGTTGTGGCCAACTGGTTAGTGAACCACCGGATGGAAGACCTCCCTCCCTCTCTCTCTCTCTCTCTCTCTCTCTCTCTCTCTCTCTCTCTCCGTGTAACTCTGACTTTCAAATAAATCTTAAAAAAAACTTGCACTCAGTTAACTCATACCCTAATCAAGAACATTTCAGTCATTCAAGAAAACAATTTCTTGCTCATTTCCAGCCAATTCTTGTCCCCACACTCCCCCAAGGATCAATTTTTCTGGTTTTAATGTTTATTTCTAAAATTTTTCTTGTAAACTCTTGGAGAAACATTCTCTTGTTCACTGGTTCACTCCCCAAATGCCCTTAATAACTGGGGCTCCAGGGCTGGGCTAGAAATGCAAGCCAGGTCTTCCATGTGGGTGGTGGCAATCTATAACATCTGCTTCCCAGGTTCTGCATTAAAAGAAGCTGGAGGGACCAGTGCTGTGGCACAGCAGGTAAAGCTTCCACCTGCAGTGCTGGCATCCCATATGGACGCCGGTTCAAGACCCGGCTGCTCCACTTCTAATCCAGCTCTCTGCTATGGCCTGGGAAAGCACTCGAAGATGGCCCAAGTCCTTGGGCCCCTGTACCCACATGGGAGACCCGGTAGAAGATCCTGGCTCCTGGCTTTGGATTGACGCAGCTCTGGATTTTGTGGCCAACTGAGAAGTTAACCAGCGGACGGAAGAGCACACTCTCTCTTGCTCGCTCGCTCACTCTCTCTGCCTCTCTTTCTCTCTCTGTGTAACTCTTTCAAATCTTTTTTAAAAAAAAAGTGCTAGTGTACTCGTTGCAGCTTTTACATGTAGGTCTATTGTCCATTTTTCAGTTAATTTTTGCATCAGGTGTCATGTAAAGATCAAGGCTTCCTCCCATGTGGATATCTGGTTGTTACAATATCATTCAAAAAAAGATCCTTTCCTTGTCAAAAATCAAGCTGGCAGGTAATGAGGACTCTTCAAAAGTTCATGGAAAATGCATACATGAAAAAACTGCATTCTATTTCTTTTATAAGATTTATTTGAAAGTGTTACAGAAAGAGGTAGAGTCAGAGAGGTCTTCCATCCACTGGTTCACACCCCAGATGGCTGCAACAGCCAGAGCTTCATTGACCTGAAGCTAGGAGCAAGGAGCTTCCTCCGGGTATCCCACGCGGGTGCAGGGGTCCAAGGACTTGGGCCATCTTCCACTGCTATCCCAGGCCATAGCAGAGAGCTGGATCAGAAGTGGAGCAGCCTGGACTAGAACCAGCGCCCATATGGGATGCCAGCGCTTCAGGCCAGGGCTTTAACCCACTGTGCCACAACGCTGGCCCCTATGCATTTTATTTCAATATTTTTTGCATCAAAATAAGCTTTAATTCCATTTTCCACCAACTTTTTGAAGTCCCCTCCTCTGTGCAATTCCGTTTCTGGACCACCTGTTCTGTCTCGTTGATCTGTAAGCCTGTTCTCATGCAATGACGCAGTGTCCTGATTACTTGGCTCTATAGTAGATCTTGTCATCCACTGGGAGACTTCCAGCCTTGTTGGTCGTCTTCAGAATTGCTTTGTTTGCTAGGCCCTTTGGATTTCCAAACAAGTTTTTTTTTTTTAGATTTATTTATTTGAGAGAATTATAGAGAGGCAGAGAGAGAGAGGTCTTCTATCCATTGGCCCACTCCCCAAATGACCACAATGGCCAGCTGTGCTGATCTGAAGCCAGGAGCCAGGAACTTCCCCTGGGTCCCCCACGCAGGTGCAGGGGCCCAAGGACCCAGGCAATAGCAGAGAACTGGATCGGAAGTCGAGCAGCCGGGACTCGAACTGGCCCCATATGGGATGCCGGCACTTCAGGCAGTGGCCCTACCTGCCACGCCACAGCGCTGGCCCTCCAAATAAACTTGAGAACAAGCTTGTCAATTTCCACAAAAGTCTGCTAGGATTTTTATAGAGATTGCAATGAATCAATAAATCAAGTTGGGGAAAATTGACATGTTCCTATCCACACACATGGAATCTCTTCATTTATTTAGATCCTTTAATTCCTGCACTTTATAGTTTTCACTATACAAGTCATGCATATTTTCTTAAATTTGTTACTAAGTATATTATGCCTTTTTTATGCTAAAGTTTCTTACTAATTTCATTTTCTGACTATTGCTAATATATCCGTGATGGTGAACCTGACCGGGCTAAGGGATGCCCAGATGCCTGGTGAAACATAGTCTCTGGGTGTGTCTGTGAGGAAGCTTCTGGAAGAGAGGAGCATGTCAACCAGTGGACTGAACAAAGAAGCCCCATGCTCAGCAGTGCGCATGCACGTCTCCCAGGTTCCCAAGGGCCTCAATAGAAGAGAAGGGCCGAGGAAGGTGAATGATCTCTTCTTGAGCGGGGACACCCATCCTCTCCTCCCTCAGGTATCACAGCTCCTGCTGCCAGGGCCTTCCGTCTCCAAAGCTCTGTCCTGCACTCCCTGCCCTTCCCCAGCCTCCTGCCTTGGCCCGAGAGTCCCCTGATTCTTGGGCCTCTGCACTTGAACCAAAGGACACCACTGGCTTTCCTGCTCTCCAGCTCTTAGGCCATAGCTCATGAGGTATCGGGTCCCCATGACAACGTAAGCCTATTCCCACAATAGACCTCCTCTTCCATACCCGCATCTTTAGCCTGTTAGTTTGTCCTCCTCTTTGGAGAACTCGAACACAATGTAGAAACAATTAACTTTCCTAGACCCATCTTGTCTGTATCAAGGATTTGGAAGACTGGGATTTTCACCTTACAGATCGCGGGAGAGCTGGCGGAAACCTGAGAACCTTGAGTCCGAGACAAAGTCCAGCACAGGCAGGAGTCGCAGTAGCAGCTTCTGCAGCAGTTCTCCAAGCTCCGACTCCTATGGGGCAAAGTGAAGAGGGCCAGGTGACACCTGCACCTGCTGGTGCTGGGCAGTGGGCGCGACGCAGCAGAGGGAGCTTAAGGCACCTGACCAGCAGGGAGCCCACCCCACCCCTCCCCTGCCACCCCCCAGAAAGCCTTGAGGGGGCCTTAGCTCTCAAGGGAAACACTATGGCTGTTATCTGTGGCCGTTTGCTGTATATAATATATCCTTGAAAAGACAGTCTAAACAAAAGGAGGATGCTTTTGCCCTCTGCTTGGGAGCAGGGAGAAGCTTGAGAGCCTCCTGAGACAGCCCCAGCAGTGCCCTGCAAGCTTGCTAAATTCACTTTCCAGCCCTAGTAGTTTTGGGGGGATTTCTTAGAAATATCAATGTTAAGTAATCATGTTTTCTGTGAATACAGAACTATTTTCTTCTTTGTCAATGTCCATGCTGCCTATTCGTTTATGGTAACGATACTGCCTGGCATCTCTAGGATACTGTTGGATAAAAGAGAGAGGAGGCACTCTGGCCTTCTTCTCAGACTTAGCAGGATAGAGTTCAGTCTTTTACTCAAGGATAATGTTACTTGTAAGTAGTTTCCATGCTACCTTTATCTGGTAGAAGAGTTTCCTTCTGTTCTTAGTTGGCCAAGAATTTTGCCATCACTGGGGGCGAATTTTGTCAGAGGTTTTTATTTGCATCTCTAGAGATGATACAGTTTTTCTCTGGATTATCCATGAGGTCAACTGCATTGATTTTTGTAAAGGTATCGAGAAGCCAACTTTCTGTTCCTGCCGTGAGCCACATCCAATCGTGACGCAGCATCCTTTTAGATATCGTCAGCTATGGCCTGGGATTTTATTAAGAATTCTGGATCTGTCAGGGCCAGCACCATGGCTCACTTGGTTAATCCTCCGCCTGCAGCACCGGCATCCCATATGGGAACTGGGTTCTAGTCCCGGTTGCTCCTCTTCCAGGCCAGCTCTCTGCTGTGGCTCGGGAGGGCAGTAGAGGATGGCCCAAGTGCTTGGATCCTGCACCTACATGGGAGACCAGGAGAAGCACCTGGCTCCTGGCTTCGGATTGGCACAGCACTGGCCGTGGCAGCCGTTTAGGGGGTGAACCAATGGAAGGAAAACCTACCTTTCTCTCTCTCTCTCTCTCTCTCTCTCTCTCTCTCTCTCTCTCTCTCTCTCTGACTCTGCCTGTCAAAATAAAAATAAATAAATAAAACTAAAAAAAAAAATTCTGGATCTGTTTTCATGAGGGACACTGTTCTGTAATTTTTTTGGTAATGCATTGTTTGTTTTGATATCAATAATACTAGCCACATAAATGCCTTTGGGACTTTCCTTAGCACATACAGGCATATTCAAGCTTTCTATTTCTTGTTCAGTTTTAGGAGTTTATGTCTGTCAGTGAAAATCGCCGTTTCATCTGAGTTTACTCATTGATATAAAGTTTCTTATGATTTCTCTGTTGTTATCCTTTGATCTCTGTAGGATCCATGATTGTATCTCCTTTTTCTCGCCAGGTATTGCAGGGCATGTTTTGGATCAATCAAAATGTTCGTCAATTGTATGGATCTTTTCAAAGAACCAATTTATAGTTTTATTGTTTTTTTTTTTTTCTGTTAGTGAATTTCTTCTCTGTTTTATTTCTACTCTTTATTTCCTTTTATTTGCCTTGGGCTTCATTTGGTCTTTTCCTAGCTACTTAATGTGGAAGCTTAGCTCATTGCTTTTAAGCTGTTCTTTTCTAATACATGCATTTAAGACTTCTCACATCTTTCTAAGCACTGCTTTAATTATATCCCAGAAATTTTGATATGTTGGGATTTTATGATCCTTCCACTAAAAGTATTTTCTACTTTTCTTTGTGATTTCTTTTGCTTTTCAAAAATCTATGGTTTAGTTAGCATATGTGTTTTAGTTTCCAAGTATTGGGGGATTGTTCAAATCTCTTTGTTGATGATTTCCACTTTAATTCCACTGTGACTAGAGAATGTATGATGTGATTTCAGTCCTTTGAAATGTATTGAGCTTTGTTTATAGGCAGACTTGTTATAGCTTATGATTTATCTTGGCCAATGTTTCATGCGCACTTGAAAAGAAGTGTATTCTGCAGTTGTTCTATGTGGTATTCTATAAATCTCAGGTTAAATTGCTTTATAATTGAGAGGGAGGAGATATACAGTTCAGCACAGCTCACTCGGACTTACCCCTAAGGGTGAAGCTAGAAACATGCCATGGACTCCAAATCCCATTAAGTTGGCAGGTACGAATGCCATCTTACTAGTTAAAGTGATCAGTTTAAGTTCATAATTGATCACAAAGATAGGATTAAGTGTCAAAGGGATCACATAAATAAGACCAGTGTCTGCTAATAGTAACTGATAGAATTAAAAAGGAGAGAACAATCCAACATGGGAAGCAGGATACACAGCAGACTCATAGAATGGCAGATGCCCTAAACAGCACTCTGGCCTCAGAATCATCCCTTAAGGCATTCGGATCTGGCTAAAAAAGCCCATGAGAGTCTCTCAGGCATGGAAAGCCAAGATACTGTGGCAAAAAATGATCTAAATGAAAGATTTCTGTGAGTGAGATCCCAGTGGAAAGAATGGGCCATCAAAGAAGGAGGTATCTTTCTCTTAAGGGAGGAGAGAACTTCCACTTTGATTATGGCCTTGTCTAAATAAGGTCGGAGTTTGTGAACTCAAGAGGCTTCCATAGCCTTGGCAGCTCATGACAAGAGCCTCAGGTGATTACTGACGTCATAAATAAGAGTGTCAATTGTTAAATCAACAACAGGAGTCACTGTGCATTTACTCTCCATGTAGGATTTCTGTCCTTAATGTGTTGTACTATGAGGAATTTTTTTAAAGATTTATTTATTTGAAAGAGTTACACAGAGAGAAGGAGAGGCAGAGAGAGAGAAAGGTCTTCATCCGATGGTTCACTCCCCAGTTGGCTGCAATGGCCAGAGCTGTGCCAATCCAAAGTCAGGAGCCAGGAGCTTCCTCTGGGTCTCTCACATGGGTGCAGGGGCCCAAGGACTTGGGCCATCTTCTACTGCTATCCCAGGCCATAGCAGAGAGCTGGATGGAAAGTGGAGCTGCCGGGTTTCGAAACCATGCCCATATGGGATGCCGGCGCTTCAGGTCAGGGTGTTAACCCACTGTACCATAGCGCTGGCCCCGTACTATGAGAAATAATGGTAAAAATAGTCTTCAAACAGTACTTTATACTTTGTGTGTCTGTGTGGGTGTAAACAGTTGAAATCTTTATTTAGTATATACTATCTTCTGTATATAAAGATAATTAAAAATGAATCTTAATGAAGAATGAGATGGGAGAGGGAGTAGGAGATGGGATGGTTTGCGGGTGGAGGGTGGTTATGGGGGGAAAAACTGCTGTAATCCAAAAGTTGTACTTTTGAAATTTATATTCAATAAATACAAGTTTTCTAAAAAAGTTGGTTTATAATTACTAATCAAAATTCCTGTTGTCCTCAGGGAGAAGTCCACAATCCTGATCAGTTCATTTTTGAAGACCCCTGATGCAGCTCCTGCTTCTAGCCACACACTTCCTCCCACGCCCCTGACGCTGCACCAACACTGGACTTGCCGCTGTGCAGCGGCGCCGGGCCCTGTCTCTCACCTTCAAGTCTCTGTCCAAGTCTTCCCTCCTGCTTCCCACACCTCGCCCTCCGGCTGGCGAAGACGCTCTCTTCAGAACCCCATCATCACTTCTAACAAATTCACGAAGCATCATCCCTCAACGGGATCCTGCAGCCCTGCTAAGCTCACTTCTTAGCCAGCGTTGCTATTATTAGCCCTATTATTAGGCCATGTTATTCAGCCCTATTATTCTTCAAATTTCCAACGTAAGTAAGCATGTCGTCTGTGAAGAAAGACCATCTCCCACCTTCCTTTTCAGTTTATATGTTATTTATGTATTGCACTGTCCTGCCAAGAACCTTCATAAAGGTGAATAAAAAGATCTTCTCGCCTTGTTCTGTCGAGTGTGTGGGGCTTCCAAGGAGGACAAATGCCAGTGTTCGTGGGGTGGAGTTAATTCTCCCTGTTGCAGGTGTCTGTGGCACACGGTAATTCCCTTTTAATTTACTTATTTGAGAGGCAGGGAGACCCAAGCACTTCCTGCCTCCCAGGGTGTACATTAGCAGGAAGCCACCTTGACCCAGGCACTCTGAGAGGGGACATGGGTGTGGCAAGTGGCATCCCAAACGCTAGGCTGAGCGCCCGGGAGTTGTCTTTAGCAAGGAGCCGTCGCGTGATCCTCACAGGGAAGACAGGAACTGCAAACTGAGAGAAAGCGGACATCCGCGGCATTAGGGTTCCCAGGGGCTGGCTTTCAAAATCTGAAAACCAGAGGACTAAGGCCCTGCGGCAGGATGCCAGCCGGGGAGGACCCTCCAGCTCCCGCCAAGCTCCCGAGGAGCCAGTCGGCGGTCCCCTTCCTCCAGGAGGTCCTCGCGGCGCCCTCTCCCCTGCGCCTGCCCCTCTTCCCTGCAGGGATCGGCAGCGGAGGCCCGGCCTCCCTGGTGTGCCCCTCCGGCCCGGGTCGCCAGGTGGCGGGCGAGCGGTAACGGAAGTCCGGCCCCGGCTCCCGGGTCCCGCCTGTCTCGGTCGCGCGTGCAGCGGTGGAGGGCGTTTCCGGGCGTGGGAAACGGACTCTGCGGGCGCGCGTGCCGGGCCCCCGCGCGGTGTCCCACAGCGCCGCCGGGGAGGCGCGATCACCCGACCGCCGGGCTTCCCTCTGCCCGCTTTGCAGAAGTCTCCACCCTTCCGTCTGGAAATCCCTGGCCCCGAACACACTTCCTCCTCCCGGAGTCCGGAGTCCCCGAGCCCTCTCTCCCGAGGCTTCCTCCGGCCTCCGGACCTCCCCTTTTTCGGTGTGTAGTGACCGTCAGCGGGATTCCGAAGTCCATCTCCCAAGCCTAGTCAGGCGCGGCCGTGGGCTCGCGGTCACCGCACTGGACACGGGGAGCTGGGAACCGTCCACACCCAGGACCCAGGCTGAGCACCCACGCCGGCCTCCTCTGCCTGCCCCGCTGCCCAGTCCTGAGACCCCGGGCTGTCTACGGAGGTGAGCGCTGGGGAGAGCCCAGCCAGTTAGGGGAGGATCCCAGAGAAGACCTCGTGGGGTGGAATGTAGCCCCAAGGGGGCTCCCTGGGTCGCTGGGTCATTTGATGTGAGCAGGCTTGCACACCAGGACCGGGGACTTGACGGGAGCGGGCAGTGATGATACAGTGACTGCTGTGTGGTTGAACTGTGTCCCGCAGCCTGGAACCTATGCAGTGTTTAAATCCTGCCTGCTACCTGGTGGCGGCTACTGCTCTGCCCTCTGTGGGGGGAACGGAGACGGGCTCAGCAGAGCGAGGGAGCTCACTTCCACGCACAGGACGGGCCTACCCTCTCCTGGCACCCATCGTCTGCTCCAGACCACTCGGTCATCTCAGCCTACCCTACACCCTACACCACCGTCAGGTTCCCAGGCTACACTCTGCTGGGAGCAGTTTTAAAAACACGTTTACGCCGGCGCCGTGGCTCACTAGGCTAATCCTCCGCCTTGCGGCGCCGGCACACCGGGTTCTAGTCCCGGTCGGGGCGCCGGATTCTGTCCCGGTTGCCCCTCTTCCAGGCCAGCTCTCTGCTGTGGCCCTGGAGTGCAGTGGAGGATGGCCCAGGTGCTTGGGCCCTGCACCCCATGGGAGACCAGGAGAAGCACCTGGCTCCTGCCATCGGATCAGCGCAGTGCGCCGGCCGCACCGCGCCAGCCGTGGCGGCCATTGGAGGGTGAACCAACGGCAAAAGGAAGACCTTTCTCTCTGTCTCCCTCTCTCACTATCCACTCTGCCTGTAAAAAAAACAAAAACAAAAACAAAAAAAACAAACACACAAAAAAACACACACCACGTTTACTTGTCAGGCGGAGCCACGTTTACTTGTCAGGTGGAGAGAGAGAGAGAGAGAGAGAGAGAGAGAGAGAGCGCTCTTCTGTCCATTGGTTTGCTCCCCAGATGTCCACGTGTTGAATGCTCTTGCCTCCTGCAGATGTCCACCGTTTCTCAGAAGGAATCCGGGGCACCTGCTGCCTCTCCGGGCCCAGCCTCCACGCGAGACCTGAGTGGGGGCTGCGGAGATGACTTGGAAAGACAATGCTGCGGAGAACCGGACCAGAAGCTGCCGGGGACCCACGGCGTGGGCGATCCGGCCGCCACGTTCTCCGGTGACAGCCCCTTCTTGTCCTGTAGAGGGAGAGTCATTAAGTGGTTCTGGGACTCGGCCGAGGAGGGCTACAGGACCTACTGCATGGATATATATGACGAGGACCAGAACCCCAGTGTGAGTGAAGCCCCCTCCCCACTGCCACCCAGGAGGGGCCTGCAGGGTGGGCTACCTCCCCATGACTGGTAGAAGCCAACTTGCTCTTGTCAGGTGAAAAGCGGGGCAGGGTGGGTGCGGTGAATGTATTTTGAAGGCAGAGTTACAGAGGGTTGTGGGTGGACGGGTTGTACGTGGAGGAACTTGGATTTTTCTTGGTTACAATCTTAGCTCCTTCAAGTTCCACCTTTTCCTCTTCCTTCACTGCTGCCTGTAACTCAGGGGTCAGGAGCTGGCTGTGCAGGAGGCCTGGGGATTCTGGAAGGGAGAGCTTGGCTTGTGCCTTCCAAACTCCCTCTCTTAGGAAATAAATGCCCTGGCAGGGGGTGGAGTCAGGGCCTCCAAGGGCAGCATTTACGCTGACACATGGGCTTTTCTTATTGATCCTCTGCCGCCTGTTTCTGTCCGGTCAGAGTGCGAGTTCACTGTATTTACTATTTTTTAAAAAAGATTTATTTTTATTTATTTGAAATACAGAGTTCCAGAGTATCCAGAGATAGAGTGAGAGGTCTTCCATGCACTGGTTCACTCTCCAAATGGCTGCAACTCCTGGAGCTGAGCCCATCCAAAGTCAGGAGCCAGGAGCTTCTTCCGGGTCTCCCATGTGAGTGCAGGGACCCAAGCACTTGGGCCGTCTTCCACTGCTTTCCCAGGCCGTGGTGGAGAGCTGATGGGAAGAGGAGCAGCCGGGACTAGAACTGGAACCCATATGGGATGCTTGCGCTTCAGGCCAGGGCTTTAACCCACTGTGCCACAGCGCCAGCCTCCATACTGTATTCTTTCATCCTGTAAACATATAATGAGTTTTGCTAAGCCCCTTGAGAGACCCAGTGGTGTCTTGGACATACACCTGACCATCCCACAGCTTCCCATCAGTCGGAGAGAGACAGCAGGTCCATCAATTCCTGGACCAAAACTGACCAGAGCTTTGAAAGGGATAGATAAAGAGTTGAGGCTCCCTCTCCCTCTCCCTCTCTCTCTCTCTCTCTCTCTCTATTAAAGAGAAATTTTGTTTAAAATTTCTAATGGACAGGTGTTTGACTTAGCATTTAAGAAGCCTGTCGGGCTGTCCGTGTTCCACAGTGGAGTACTTGGTTCAGCACCCAGCTCTAGCTCTCATCCCCAGCTTCCTGCCAATGCAGACCCTGGAGGACGGCAGTGATGGCTCAACGAGTTGGGCGTTGGCCACCCAAGTGAGGGGCCCGAATTGAGTTCCTGTCGCCAATTGGAGTGCAGCCCAGCTATTTGAGGAGAGAACCAGTGGATGGAAGCTCTCTCTTTCTCTCTCTCGTTTCTTTCCCTCTGTCTCCCTACATATCAAATAAATAACTTTTTTTTTTAAAAAAGATGATTTTTTAAAAAAAGGGCTGGGGCCCCCGCTGTGGCACAATAGGTAAAGCCGCCACCTGCGACGCCAGCGTCCCAGATGGGCACCAGTAGAGTCCGGCTGTTCTGCTTCCAATGCGGCTTCCTGCTGGTGGCCTGGGAAGAGCAGCAGAAGATGGACCGAGTGTTTGGGTCCCTGCACCCATGTGGGAGGCTCTAAGGAAGCTCTTGGCTCCTGGCTTCAGCTTGGTTCATTACAGCCATCTGGGGAGTGAACCAGCGAATGGAAGCTCACTCTCTCCCTCTCTCTCTCTCTCCCTCTCCCTCTGTGTGTGTGTGTGTGTGTGTGTGTCCTCACTCTATAACTCTGCCATTCAAATAAATCTAAAAACCAAAAAAAGAGCTGTGGGATCTAGAAGAAAAGATGGCTTCCGGGGATGTTTGGGGAAGGCTTCCTGGAGGAGACAGCATTTGGACGACTCTCTAGAAATGGGAAGAGGGGATCTGGGAGCTGAGGGGTCAGGGCACAGCTTGAACAAGATAAAGAGGGCGGTCGCAAGGGTGGGTTGTAGAGAGCCCCCCCACCTTGTGCCGCCCTGGTGGGCTTCTCGGGCCTTTCACAGGTACCCTCTGCCGTGCCTACCCTGTCTCTGCACCTCTCATCTCCAGGGCATCATTAACCTGGGCGTCAGTGAGAACAAGCTCTGCTTCGACCTGCTGCAAAGCCGGGTAAGTCCTGGGGGTGCCACGGGTGACATCGCCACCCTCAAGGGACTTCTTCCCTCCCCAGGAGCCTGTGAGAGGCTCGGCAGCTGTGGCCTGGGAGTGAGGAGACCCACGGCTGCAGCTCTGCCTTGGGGACAAGCGTCTGTGTGATTTTGGGCCGGTCACTTCCCCCTTCTGCCCTGTTTCTGCTCAGACTCTCCCTGACTCAGCCTCTCCTGCTGTGTTGGGTGCTGGGTCCTAGAGGGGAAGCGCTCAATGCTATGTTGTGGGTTTGTAGCAGCTGGCTCTGCAGGGCACAAAATAAAGCCCCGCTCTGTAGCTGTGCTGGTTTCATAGTGTAAGGGCGCCCTCTGTGGTCAGGCACGGCAGAGCACACTCTGTGTCTATGCAGACACAGAGGCGGAGCTAATGTCGGGAGAGCTGTGGGTTGGACAGGGCACCAAGTCGCCAGGCACGGATGTTTGAGTGCTTCCTGCCTTTGGAAGGGAAATCATTTAGTTCCAAGTTTGTTAATTTAATGTTTTTTTTTTTAAACACAGTTTGTAAAATTCCTAAAAATTTCATAGTCAGATTTTTTGAGCTGGTGAGAGGCCTCTCCAGCAAACCACTGGAGATACCTGCTAAATGGGTCTCCCACGGCTGGAATGTTGGTCTGGGTTTGTAGAAACCGCAGTGCTTAACCCAAAGGAACCTGGTTTTTTCTTTTCTTTCTTTCTTTCTCTCTCTCTTTTTTTTTTTTGTTAAGGATTTATTTATTTATTTGAGAGGCCGAGTTACAGACACAGAGAGAGGCAGAGACACACAGTGCGAGAGAGATCGTCCATCCGCTGGTTCCCGCCCCAAATGGCTGCAGTGGCCAATCTGAAGCCGGGAGCCAGGAGCTTCTTCCGGGTCTCCCACGCGGTTGCAAGGGCCCAAGGACTTAAGCCACCTTCTGCTGCTTTTCCCAGACCATTAGCAAGGAGCTGGATTGGAAGTGAAGCAGCCAGGACTTGAACCAGCGCCCATATGGGATGCCAACACCACAGGCTGAGGCTTAACCTGCTAAGCCACAGCACTGGTCCCAGGAACCTGTTTCTAAAGGTGCAAAAGTCTCAGCTCTGGGAAGCAGGGGTTGTAGGGAGTAGGTGTTCCTCTTTTTCTAGAATATGTGTGAGGGCCGGGCCTTTGGCACAGCAGCTGAGGTACCGTTGGGACACCCTTGTCCCGTGTCACAGTGCCTGCCTGCTTCCAGTCCTGGCTCTATTAGCTCTTGGCTCATTCGCACCCTGGGAGACAGCAGGTGCGGCTCAGGTAATGGGGTCTCTGACAGCCACACGGGAGACCCGGACTGAGTTTCCTGTTGCAGGCATTTAGAGAACTCCCCACTGTGCTGATGTGCTGCCCAGATGACCCCAACAGCTGGGGCTGGGCCAGGCCAAAGCTGGGAGCTGGACACTCAACCTCAGTCTCCTACATGGGTGGCAGGAACCAACCACTTGCGCCATCACTGCTCCGGGGTCTGTATTATCAGGAGCACAGCCAGGGCATCAAACCCGGGGACTCTGGTGTGGGCCACAGGCATCTTAATTGCCAGGCCAAACCCCTGTGCCGGGAGTAGGTTTTAAAGGCCTGCTTTACCCAAAGCCAGCTCTTCCTTCTAGAACAGCTCAGCACTGAAATATCCAAAAGCTGAGCCACGTATATAATTTTAAATTTTCTACTAAAAAGGTAAAAATAAAAACTTGGTAAAATTTATTTTATTTACCTCCAAATGTGACCTTTTTAACATGTAATTGATAAAAAAAAAAGAATGGTATATTTCACATTCACTTTTCATACCGAGTCTTCGGAAGCCAGTGTGTCCCGGTTTGGACCAGCCAGCGTTGGTGTGGTCGGTAGCCACAGTTGGCCATGGCTGCCATATTGGATCGGCGGTAAAGCAGGAAGGACGGGAGGGAACAGGCTCTCCACAGGTGTACAGGAGTGGCTGATTCCTCTTCTTCCTCTGGTCCCAGGGCCCAAGGCCCCCATATCATTAGCCCGTCCTGGACACCCTACCCATGATGCCCTAGCAATGACTGACCCAGCACCGGGTCAGGGGTGGGTGGACTAGAAGCTGCCACAATGTCTCAAGTGGGAGGTGGCGCTGAGCCTGCAGACAGCGGTGGCCGGTGGCCATGTCCCTCCAGGAGTTGGAGCCAGGACCAGGGAGGTAGCACCCAAGTCGGGGGTCTCTTCTGTCACCCCTTGTAGAGCTCAGTGGCATGGTCTCCCATCCCTGTCCCGGCAAATCGACCTCTCAAATTTAAAAAAAAAAAATTTTTTTTTAGGTAGCAACATTGTATAAAGAGCACTGGACTAGGAGTCAGAAAATCTAGGTTTGGTCTCAGTGATGTTGGCTGAGCCATCTCACTTTTTTGAGCCTTGGTTTTGTCATCTGCCAAACGGGCATGAAAATGCCACACGTGGGTGCCACTCTGCTAGTGGTTTCTCTGACGAGCGAGCAGGACAAGCCATTGACTTTTTTTTTTTTTTTTTTTGCCAGGAAGAGTTAGAGAGAGAGACAGAGACAGAGAGAAAGGTCTTCCTTTTTCCGTTGGTTCACTCCCCAAGTGGCCGCTACGGCTGGTGTGCTCCACCGATCCGAAGCCAGGAGCCAGGTGCTTCCTCCTGGTCTCCCATGCGAGTACAGGGCCCAAGCACTTGGGCCATCCTCCACTGCCCTTCCTGGGCCACAGCAGAGAGCTGGACTGGAAGAGGAGCAACTGGGATAGAATCCAGTGCCCCAACCGGGACTAGAATCCCTGGGGTGCTGGCACCGCAGGCAGAGGATTAGCCTAGTGAGCCTAGTGACTCGAAAGGCACTGGTGCTGGCCAGCTGCAGGGGCAGTGCCGGCCCTCAGACTTGCTCTTTCCTCCCTGTCCCCAGCTGACTCAGAGCGACATGCTGCGGGTGGAGCCGGCCCTGCTGCAGTACCCCGACTGGAGGGGACATCTGTTGTAAGTGACTGTGCATGTGGTTCTCAACACAGGGCGGCTCTGCTTCCCTTGGAGGGGGGTGGCTGGGTTGTGGCACTGCCTGGAGACATTTGGGGGTCATCATAGTGGCAAGGGGTGCACTGCTGGCATATAGTAGGTAGGGCCCAGGGGGTGTTGCTAAAGCTTTGACAGTGCCCAGGATGGCCTCCCTCCCTGCCCCCAGCCAAGATGATTCCAGCGCCAGTGTTCATAGTGGCAGGTCGAGAAAGCCTCATCCTGGAGAGCCGTGGGCACAGGCCTCCTGGGACATCTGCAGGGAACTGGTGTCCCTGCCAGCCCCTCCCCAGCTCAGGAGCTGCCAGGGGGGTTTCACGAACCCGGGCCAGAGGCGTGGGCATGAAGACTCACGAGGCAAGGAATCTTTTCCTGAGGGTAGGATGGGAGGCGGTACACAGCACTGCTAATATCCGTGCCTGCTGAGCACTTCCTGAGGCCCAGGCACGCTTCGAAGGGTTCGGTGGCCAAGGAGGATCAATCCCAGCCCTGATTCTGACAGCACTCGTTAGGAGGGTGGGCACTGGGGGCTTGAGTGCGGACTGTGCCATTTTTACAGCAGGTAGCGTAATCCCATCAAACCTCAAGTCTCCTTGTAAAATAGGAACAGTAGGTGTGCCTTATAGTATTATGAAGAGTAAACGCTATTCTCCAAATCGCATCCGCACGCATAAGGGGACTGTTCACTAAGTGTCCACATAGGAACTAGGGGAAGTTTCTGTGATGAGGATGGCGACGATTGTGTCTTCACGCACACTACTCCTTCGATACCCCCTGAAGTCTGCCAGGGGGTGGGGTTGGGGTTCCTAGGCCGACTGAGAATGGACGTGACAGCACCTGTGCCTGCTGGGGGGAAGTGGGTGCCCAGGAGTGGAGATGGGTCCAGACCAGGGGAGAGAGGTGGTGGCTGCCGAAGGAGTGGCCGCAGGAGCTGTGGGGTGGCCTATCTGTCTGTCTGGTCTCCAGCCTCCGGGAGGAAGTGGCCAAGTTCCTGTCTCTCTACTGCAAGAGCCGCACTGCCCTCAGACCGGAGAATGTGAGTAGCCCCCTCACTCTTTCTGCTTTTGGGCCCCCACCCCCAACTTCTGTCTGGCTAAGGGTAAGGTGTGGTTAGCGTCTGCCCTTCCCTTGGAATTTTTCTTGAAAAACTCCCATTTATTTGAGATGCAGAGAGACAGAGCTTCTGCCTGCTGGTTTGCTCTGCAAATGCCCACAACCACCAGGGCTGGGCTCGTCTGAAGCTGGGACACAATGCGGGAGTCTCACCTGCTGCCTCCTGGGGTGTGCATCAGCAGGAAGCGGGACTTGGGAGTGGAGCTGGAACTCGAACCCAGGCTCTCGGATATGGGCTGTGGGCGTCCCGCTTTGGGTCTGAACTGCTGCGGCCGACTCAGTGGTTTCAGCCTTGAGCGGTTTCAAAGCAGAGTAAGGGGTGCCTCCTCCTGCTCCCCCCAAGTCCTCCATCTTCAGACTTCGGGGGTGAGTTCTGCCCGTGCTGTGCTGTGGCCTCTTTGCACACCTCTGGGTGACACCATCGCCATGAGCAGCTCCCTCTTCTTGCCCAGGTGACCTGGAGCAAGGTCCTACCAGTGAACTTGGCTGTTGGTCAGGAGGGGCCTTCAGGCCCCCTCCTGTGGCTTTGCTGGGACTGAGCCCCGAAGGGCACAGAGGAGGGCTCTGTCTTTCCTCCTGTGCTGTCCTGCGACAGAGGCTGTGGGTCCTTTGCTGTCTCCTGGAATCACCTCCGTCCCCTGCGTGTGTCACCCTCAGGTGGTCGTTCTGAATGGCTGTGCCTCCGTCTTCTCTGCCCTGGCCACTGTGCTGTGTGAAGCAGGGGGTAAGTGGACCCCGTGGCCCACCCTGCGCCGGGGCAGCCCCGTGCCTGCAGCGACCCCTGTTGCCCAGCCTCAGGGACTGCAATCCCAGTGCTCTCTGGCTAAAGAGAATCGCCTGGACCACAGCAGGGGAATGAATGGCTCCCCTGAGAGAAGAGACACCCAGGGGAGGCCGATGTGGTGTCAGGGTTCTGGAGCTTCTCTGCGTGGCTACTGTGGCCTTTCCTCCAGTGCTCCCCAGGTGGCTGTCACACCTGCGTGTGACAACAGGTCTCAAAGCAGAAAGAAAGGGAGGAGGTGGTGGCTGTCCCCTTTTTTCTCAGCAGAGGGAAACGGAGATTCTGTTTCTCTGCCAAGTCCCAGCGCAGTTTCCTTACGTCTTACTCACCAGCCCAGTCCATGCAAACAGGACTCGGAGAGCCAGGCTTGGCTTAAGCCACACGTGCTGGATTCCCCCAGGGCTGGGGGAGTGCTCACCTTCTTTGGACACAATGTCAGTCATAGCTGACAATGTGTCCCCCAGTGGTGCTGTCTTGGCAGGAAGAAACTCAGAATGGCTGCTGAGTGGAAGTGACCAGGACCTGGTCATGGTCAGGGTTATTGGATCCAGAGGACAGAGGCCCGCTTGTGATAGCTTCACCGATAATGATAATGAGCTTGATGGTGAGGCTCCAATGAGATAAAATGGAAGGAATGAGCAGCAAAGTGCCCAGCACAAGGGAGGTGCTCTGCAATTCTTAGCTGTCAGTTATCGCGAAGGGACTGGGCTCATGGATGCAGGCTTTAGAAAGGGTTTTGGGAAGTGGAGCCTGCACCAAATGTTCCCCAAGGATGTTGAAGGCTTGGACAGGAGTCTGGGATGTTCCAGCCAGAAGGTCACAGGCCCCGCCCACTCCATCCCCAGAAGTGTTCCTGATCCCCACCCCTTACTACGGAGCCATCACACAGCACGTCTATCTCAACAGCCATGTCCGTCTGGCCTACGTCCATCTGGACAGTGAGGTAAGAGCGCCTGGCCTCCCAGGTGGGACCCGGGTCACCTGTAGGCCACTTCCTGTGTCGGAATTCGAGGGTGCATGGGGGAGGAAGTCCAGGGAGGAAGGAATGGAGCCTTCTGTGGCCACATGACTACCCCAAGCTTGGGCTCCCCGGAGGGCCCAGGCTCCAAGCCCTGAGATCACTGAAGGCCATGTCAGAGCCGAAGGCCAGTCTTAGACATGGCGGAGCGGGAACAGGCAGAGATGATCTTGGGACAACAGCCAGAGACCCCTGGGGCCTCTGCCAGCAATGGGAGGGTGCAGGGGTGGGTGCCCCTGATGTCATGGGTAGGGGGTGTTTTATTTATTTATTTATTTACTTTTGAGAATGTTCCAAAGAGGCTGGAAAATGCAGGGGAGGAGAGGCCCAAAGGCTCAGGCATGGGGGACAACAAATTTTTTAAAAGATATTTATTTATTTGAAAGTAAGAGTTACAGAGAAAGAGGAAGACACACACACACGCACACACAGAGAAAGAGAGAGAGAGAAAGAGAGAGAGAGAAAGAGAGAGAGATATCAATCTTCCATCTGCTGGTTCACTCCTCAGCTGGCTGCAAGGGCCAGGGCTGGGCTAAGCTGAAGCCAGGATCCAAGAGCTTCTTCTAGGTCTCCCATGGATTCAGGGGCCCAAGCCCTTTGGCCATCTTCTGCTGCCTTTCCCAGGCCATTAGCAAGGAGCTGAATTGGAAGTGGAGCAGCCTGATCTTGAACTGGCACACATGTGGGATGCCGGCTTCCCAGGCGGTGGCTTAACCCATTATGCCACAGTGCCAGCCCTGGGTCAGTGAACTTGAATGGTGGCTTTGATGGGTGTTTTTGCAGGTCACTGGACCAGACGCACGTCCCTTTCAGCTCACAGTGGAGAAGCTGGAGGTGGCCCTGCAAGGAGTTATTTCTGAGGTCTGGAGGTTCAATCCGATCCAAGGCTGGGGGTTGGGTGGAGGTCTGAGCAGGGTACTGGCCACCATGCCTGGGAGAGTAGAGTTAACAGTCCGTGATGGGGACAGGTGGGTAGGGTGATGGCATAGAGCCAAGGTGGGAATCCAGTAGAACCTGCTCATGGGGGTCTTCCCATCAGGAAAAGACCCCAAAATGTCAGTATATTGACAATCGACCTCATTCAAAATAGTCCCTTCCCACTCCATCTGATCCTGACTCCGTGGGTCTGGTGTGGAGGGCCAGAGTCTGTCCGCAGCTCCTCCAGTCTCCTTGGTGACTTGAGGGATATCCTGACTTGAGGGGGCCTGAGGTCTCCCCAAGAAGGGCAGAGACTGGAAAGTATTCCAGGGCTCCTCTCCCGTCCACTTGTTAGCAATCTGTCTCCTCCATTGTTTTTCCTCCTCAATTGTTAAAGCTGTGTATGTTCACTGTGGGAACTCCTCCAAGTTCTCCCAGCAACGGTGCCCTCCACTGGCCTGCTGGCCTGTGGGCATCTTGCCTTCTGGGCTGTGTTCCCTGCTGTCATCCCAGTCGCGGTGCTGCGGATGGAACCCTGTGCCTTGTTGTACATTTTGCAGTGGCTCGTGCCCTCGTTCCCCGCCACTTTCCCAGGGAGCCGCCCAGCAACCAGCCTGGCCCAGTGGGGCTGTGAGTCTCTCTGGCCTTGGAGGAGGTGCTGAGGGTCTCCTGCCCCATGGCTGGTTTCAGGGTGTGACGGTCAAAGGCCTCATCCTCATCAATCCCCAGAACCCTCTGGGTGACATCTACTCCCCAGGGGAGCTGCAGGAGTACCTGGAGTTTGCCAAGAGGTGAGGTGGCCCACACTGCTGGCGCCAGGCAGCTGGGCAGAGCCAGCTTCTGACGTGGGCTCTGGGGAAGATCCTGACGTCCTCTTCCTCCTGCTGTGTCCAGCCTCCTGCTTGGACCACTCCCTGGCAGTGGGGTGGGGGAGGGGAGCTTGTGGGCTGTTATTTCTCCCCTGCTCCCCCGCCCCCATTTCTTTGTATATCGACAGCTTTCACTTGGTGCACGCGCTAGGAACCAGGTGCCGCGCTCAGGTGCCCCTCCCGTCTGGAGGTACCTGGTAGCTCCGCCTCTCTCCTATAGAGCGTCATGGGCTCCACTGTCGGCGGCTTTGTGTGTGTCCTGTTGCGTTGAAAAAGCAGAAGAAAGGAGGGTGTTCAGGGGACATCTTGGTAGCCCCGGGCTAGCCTGGGTTCCCCCTGGAGTTGGGCTGCTCTGCCAGCCACCCCCAGGGAAGGGTGGGCCTCCAAATGGAGCTCTCTCTCCTCCCCCCCCACCAGGCACGAGCTGCACGTGGTCATGGATGAGGTCTACATGCTGTCCGTGTTTGATGAGGCGCTGGAGTACCGCAGCGTCCTCAGCCTGGAACGGTGAGGCTCTCCGCCAGCGCCCTGTGCTCTCCCAGCGCCCTGGCCTCTCCCTGGCTCGGTCCCTCCTCCATCTGGCTGACCCCACTGCTTCTCAGATCCCTGGGGAGTAGGAGTGCTCTAGAGTCGCGGTTTTCAGTCTGTTTCTGGGGTTTCTGGGAGCTCCAAGGAAGGGGCCTCGGGACTCCCTGCAGGAGGGGCTGCCTGGGTGGACCCTGGCTTCCTCTTCTGCTCCCTTCAGCCCCAGGGCAGCCCCAGTCTTACTCTCGTTCCCTCATTGATGCGTTTCAGCAAATACTGCTGGCGCCCCACGCACGTGCCAGTCGCTTCCAGCCCTTTAAATATTGGGCTCCAAAGAAACTTATTTGACTGAGAGAGAGAGTGAGAGAGAGAGAGAGAGGCTAGGTTCTGGTTCACTCCCCAAATGCCCACAAAAGCTGGGCCTGGGCCCAAGCCAGGAGCCAGGAACTCAATCCAGGTCTCTCAAGTACCTGAGCCATGGCTTGCTGCCTCCCAGGGTGTGTATTAGCAGGAAGCTGGAAAGGGAGCCCCGCTGGGGCTCAAACCCACGCACTCCGCTGTGGCATGCGGGTGTCCCAACCAGCGTGTTGATCACTGGGCCAACCCCCTACCCCACCCCAGCGCAGTATCAGACTTTTTTCATTCTGTTTCAGTAAGCAAATAATCTGTGGCCACAGCACCTCTGGAATACTGGGGCCAGATCACCTGTGCAGTCTATAAATGGGAGCTGCAGGGGTCCCAACAGTCCCTGAGCTTCGCTCGGCCCCTTCAGCCCTGCCGAGGCTTCTCCGCCCGCCCCCTCGTGGAGTCCCCCCGACCCCAAGCTCTGCAAAGTAGACCCAGCGTGGGTTGTTGCTTTCATTCCTTCCTTTTAAGGACTGGGAAAGTGAGACACAGAGAAAGCAGCGACTTGCCCATGATCTTGGTCCTGGGTGTGTGGTGTGTGCTGGGTGCTGGGCGAATAGCCATGAACCAGAAAGACATAGGCCCTGGCTGGTGGAACTCTCCATTCTAGCCAGAAAAAAAATTTTTAGCTGCTAACTACACAGCTGGTCATTTGTTCCTGGCCATGAGGAGCGTTGAAATGCAGTCTGGGAGAGTGCTGCAGAGGGTACCCAGCTCACCTGGCTGGTGGGCAAGGTCAAGGGCGCCTTTTGAGGATGTGACACTTGAGCTATGCTGCGAATCAGGACACAGCCAGCTTTTCCCACAAAGGGCCAGGTGGGAAGTATTTTAGACTCCTAGGCCATTTGCTGTTTGCTCTTTCACTCGCCCCTGCTGCATAGTCACTGTGTGAAGGGATGAGCATAATCACTGTGCTCTGATAAAACTTTATTTACAAAAACAAGCCGCAGGCTGGTTTGAGCCTATGGGTTGTGCTTTGTCAAGCCCTGCTCCAAAGGATGCCTGGGAGTTGGTGGTTCAAAGAGATGACCCCAGGGCTTGGCCTGGGGCCCAGAGCCAGATCCGTCCCTCCGTCTCCTCATCTGTGCAAGCAAACACGCGTGGGCTGCCCTGCTGCTCTGCTGGGCCCTATTCCCACGCTGTGCTCTCTGCAGGCTGCCAGACCCCCAGAGGACCCACGTGATGTGGTCCACCAGCAAGGTGAGGTCCTGGCTAGCCGTGGGGGGCGGGCAGGGAGGTGGGAGGAGAGGGCTGGCCGTGGACTAAAGTGCCCGTTCTTCCAGGACTTCGGGATGTCTGGGCTCCGCTTCGGCGTGCTGTACACAGAAAACCAGGACGTGGCCACTGCGGTGGCTTCACTCTGCCGCTATTATGGCCTTAGTGGCATAGCCCAGCACCAGATGGCACAGCTGCTACGAGACCACGGTGACTGCCTGGGCCTGGTGACCTGGGAATGGGGAGGGAGGGCGGCAGTGAGTCTGGGGTCGTGGACGCTCAGCCCAGAGAGGAACTGAGAGCAGGGATTGAGAGGGCCAGCTGGGCTGCCCGGACTGAGCCTCGCCTACCCTATCACTTCCCAGCGTGCATCACCTTGCTTCCCGTACAACGCCCCAGCAGGGGTCCTAATGGGACCTGCCCTGTGGGGTTGGTGTGCTTGGTAACTCAGCACTGAACCTGGCCTGTAACAGGGGCTTCATTGGTGTGAGCTCACTGTTATTAGTCGTGAACACCACTTAAAAGACAGCAGAAGCTGCTTAGAGAAGATTGTTACGATGGAAGTCTCTCTCTCTCTCTCTCTCTCCCTCCCCCCCCTCTTCCTTTCCCTCTCCCCCCTCCCCCTCTCCCTCTCTCCCCCTCTCCCCAAATCTATTCTGTTTCCAAGTTCACATAGTGAGCGTGGATAGCTTGCCGTTAATTGCCTCCATGCCTTGAGCCCTGCAAACACCCGTGCTGTATCATCTCACTTGTCCCTCTCCGGAATCCCAGGCAGCAAGAAGCCCTGTTTGCCCTATCACTCCCCTTATATAAGATGATGGAAATGAGTCTCAGAGACCACACACCTGCTGTCAACAGCTAAGATTTAAAGACACAGGGACACCCAGCATTGACACGGGTGCGGCTCGGACTCTCACCCATGGCTGGTGGAAGTGTCAGTGGTTCATCCACTCTGGAACACAAGTCGGCAACGTCTCAGAAAGCTAAACCCACCCTGACGGAATGACCCGGCTATCCTAATACCACGCTCTGCACGTCGACAAGTTGGTCAGTGACGGACCTCACGTACGACAGCAGTCCCGTGAGATGTTATCCCCTGGTGACGTCATAGCCATCCTAGTGTTGTGGCAGGACACTCTGCAGCGTTCACACAGCGCTCCAATCGCCCAGTGACGCATTTCTCAGGGTGTGTCCTGATCTTTAGGCCACACACAGGTGCCTCAGCGCTGACGGCCCCACACATCTCGTGAATGTGTAGCTGCTCTAGTCATAGCTGCCTATCGTGGGAATCAACCCAGATGCCCTGCAGAGATGGCTGGAGCCGTGGGCTGTGGCACGTCCACACAGTGGAGCACTGTTCTACAGTAAAACTCATGGCAACACAGGCCGCTCTTCAAAGGCATCGGGCTGAGGGAAAGAAGCTAGCCCCAGAAGATGGCGTGCTGGAGGATTCTACTTCTGTGACATTCTGGAAAGTTCTATGTAACAGATGAGTGATTCATGGCCAAGAAGCGGAGGTGACTCGACACAGCATGAGGGTCCTCTTTGGGAAGATGGGACTGTTCTGAATCCGACTCTGGTGGGGGCTACACAAATCTATACGTGCATTTAAATTCATAGGACTTCACACAATGAAGCTTAAATACAAATGAGGATCAGCCAGGTGCAGTTACCCTGGGCTCCACTGATGGGCCTGAGCTTTGGGCTGTGTGATGTGAAAGCATGATTTTAAAATATTTATTTATTTATTTGAAAGGCAGAGGAGAGACAGAAAAAGAGGGAGAGAGGGGTCTCCTGTTTGCTGGTTCACTCCCCAAATGCCTACAACAGCTGGGGCTAGACCAGGCTAAAGCCAGGAGCCAGTGACTAAATCCAGGTGTTGCCCACAGGTGGCAGAGACCCAAGTATTGGAGCCGTCACCTTCTCCCTTGCTGGGTGTTCGTGAGCAGAAGTCAAGATGGAGCCTGGACGTGAACCCAGGCACTTTGATAAGGGATGTGGGCGTCCCAAGTGGCATCTTTTGTTTTGTTTTGTTTTGACAGGCAGAGTGGACAGTGAGAGAGAGAGACAGAGAGAAAGGTCTTCCTTTACTGTTGGTTCACCCTCCAGTGGCCACTGCGGCCGGCATGCTACAGCCGGTGCACCATGCTGATCCGAAGCCAGGAGTGAGGTACTTCTGGTCTCCCATGTGGGTGCAGGGCCCAAGGACTTGGGCCATCCTCCACTGCACTCCCTGGCCACAGCAGAGAGCTGGACTGGAAGAGGAGCCACCGGGACAGAATCCAGCGCCCCGACCGGGACTAGAACCCGGTGTGCCGGCACCACCACTTTCTAACCAGATGAACCTCTGGCTTGGGTTCTGCGTCCTGAGAAACTTGTCATTCTCAGCTGCAGAATGGAGTGCAGGACCTGGCGCTGTCAGGGCGGAGTCTGGATTTGCAGTCCGTGTCCCGCCTACCCCACGGCCAGACGGAGGGGCACTTGGCACAGTCACTTGGGGCACTTGGCACGGGCGGCTGGTGGCCTTTTTCTTTTCTTTCTTTTTCAGATTTATTTATTTACTTGAAAGAGTTACAGAAAGAAGGAGAGGCAGAGAGAGAGAGAGAGAGAGAGAGAGAGGTCTTCCATCTGCTGGTTCACTCCCCAGTTGGCCGCAACGGCCGGAGCTGTGCTGATCCGAAGCCAGGAGCCAGGAGCTTCTTCGGGGTCCCCCATGCAGGTGCAGGGGCCCAAGGACTTGGGCCATCTTCTAGTGCTTTCCCAGGCCACAACAGAGAGCTGGACCAGAAGTGGAGCAGCCAGGACTCGAACTGGTGCCCATATGGGATGCTGGCACTGCAGGCAGCGGCTTTACCCACTATGCCATAGCGCCAGCCCTGGTGGACTTTTTCTTTCCAGCCTTTAGACCAGCGGGGTAGAGTGGAGGGTTGATGGGACGTTGATCTTTGACTCCCCTTTCACCCACAACAGACTGGATCAGCCAGGTGTACCTACCGGAAAACCACGCCCGGCTCAAGGCTGCCCACACCTACGTCTCTGAGGAGCTGCGCGCCCTGGGGATCCCCTTCCTGAGCCGCGGGGCCGGCCTCTTCATCTGGGTCAACCTGAGGAAGGTAATGGAGGTGGAGATGCAGGCCCGGAGCGAGGTCCAAGCCTCCCTGCAGCAGATGAGGGGCAGGGCAGGGCAGGGCTGGGGGCGAGGTCTCGGCTGTACTCGGAGCCTCTGCTTCTCGCCCAGTACCTGCCGCAGGCCACCTTCAAGGAGGAAGAGCTACTGTGGCGCCGGTTTTTGGACGGCAAGGTGCTGCTGTCCTCTGGCAAGGCGTTCCAGTGTAAAGAGCCCGGCTGGTTCCGCATCGTCTTCACCGACAAGGCCCACCGGCTCCGCCTGGGTGAGCAGCCCACCCTCCCCGCCCAGCTCCTCTGCCCTGCTGGCCCCAGTAGCCTCAGCCATCCATGCTGACCGGTCCCTGTCTTCCCCTACACAGGGATGCAGAGGTTTCGGCAGGTGCTTGAAGGGAGACCCCACTTCCGGACCTAGGAGCCAGGTGACCAGCACAGGCGAGCTGCTCAGTGCCGCTGCACCTGACCCAGGGCCTCGTGGGGCTGCAGAAGACTGGCTTGTTAGGAAGTTGCTCAGCTTGGCTTTGCCCTTGTAGAACTCTGGCAGTGGGAGACCCCTGTAGCTGAGGTTCAACCGGGGCCGCCCCTGTTCCCTGTTCACTCGGTGCACCTGCCGTGAGTCATCTGCAGGATGGAGGAGTCGTGACTGTTCTCAGCCACAGCCCTCAGCCCCCCGGGGGGCCTGGGAAAGAAAAAAACAAACAACCTGGACCTTGTTTTTAACTGCGCCTTTATACCTCTTCCTTGGTTGCCAGGGAAACCAGCCCAGGGAACAGCATGTCTGCCAGCGAGCATGCCAAAAACATAATAAAAAAGTGCTAACTCTCAATGACAGGGAGGATGGAATGCATTGTGTTAGTTCCTATCACAGCACACCAGGAACCTGGGACGGGCCTCTGTTTGGGATGAGGGGAACAGGACCCGTGCACGAGTCACGAGCGGCTTCTCTGGGGGAAATGAAGTGCCCCTCTGTCTCTGGGGTGCTCCTCTTCTCCTCCTTGGGGCTCCTGGTGTCCCCAAAGTACAGCAACCTAGCGATGGCTGTAGGGGGACAATTTGGGGCTGGAACTGAGGCTGCTGTGGGGCCTGGCTGACCGGGGCTGGCCTGGCCATGCCGAGTATGTGGACCAAGGGCTGCCCACCGCGTCTCCAGGTGTGCTTCAGTTCTGAGCCTAAGTGAGTTTTCATCTGAGCCTGACCACCACCTGCTTAGAAGAGCTGACTCTTTCCTTGTTCCTCCTTGAAGAAACCGTCAGTGAAATCAACGCTTTCCTCCTGTAAACCGTGCTCTTCGGTTTAAGGTCATTCATCATTCATTCATTCATTCATTTTTCTACCCCATCTTTTTGTCGAATACCGTCTCTGTACCAGAAACTGTGCTGGGTCATCTATTTACAGAAGGGGAAACCGAGTCTTGAAGAGGTGGAATGATGGGATGGATGTCACATAGCAGAAGTGCATCAGAGGCAGGATTCTAAGTCAGCTGGGTGTGGTCCAAAATCCCGTGCCTGGGCCATGCTCTCCTGCCAGTTCCCGGCAGCACCCTCGACTGTCCCCAGTCCTGAGAACCAGCTCTGTGCAACCACCACCATCATCTTCAATCTCTTAAAGATTTATTTATTTAGTTAGTTAGTTAGTTATTTTGTTTGACAGGCAGAGAGACGGAGACAGATCTTCCATGTGCTGGTTCACTCCCCCAAATGCCCACCACAGCCAGGGCTGGGCCAGGTTGAACCAGGAGCCTAAAGCTCAATCCAGGTCTCCCATGCGAGTGGCAGGAACCCAAGGACTTGAGCCGTCATCTGCTGTCTCCCAGCAGGAAGCTGGAACCGAAAGCAGAGCCAGGCTGAACCCAGGCACCCTGATAGGGTTGTGGGTGTCCCGAGTGACAGCTTAACCGCTGCACCAAACGCCCTGCAACCCTTAATTATTTTTAAATGCCATGGGCTAGGGAGAGCTCCTTTCCACTCCCAATTCCGAGATTGCTGGGGTCAGGGTTTGTTTTGCCCAGGAGACGTCAGCCCCTGTGGAAGGTCAGGTTCAGAGGTGACCATAGAGAGCCCCCTGCACCTCACCAAGCACTTCTGCTGCGACTCTACCACTGCATGTCAGGATTCTCCCTGCCACGCTTCCCTTTTAGAATGTTCCAGAAGGATGACTCCGGATGCCTCTTCAGAGGAAATCCACGTGAGCTCCCTCGTGCAGGCTGATTGGGCCAGGAATCTGGACCTGTGCCGAGCTTATCTCTCTTTGCAGGGAGGCCTGCAGCTCCAGCGGGCTTGTGCTCTGCCGAACACATGTGTCTGTGGGCGTGCTGCCCTGGAGGGTGGATGGGACAGACTGCGTTCCTTGTGCGTCCTCTCCTCTCACAATTTTGCTTGGCTTGTGACTGCAGCCAGTGAGCTTTGTGCACGTGGAGCCCGACAGTCTCTCAGCAGCACCAGTGTCTCTTACTTTCTGCCCTGGGCTCTCTCCACACCCCTATGGACTCCTTGGGGGCACGTGCACACCAGGAACTAGGAGAGAGTTAACACTTCTGGCCCGGTCCTTGAGCCATCGAAGCAGGGGCTGGTGGATAAAGACTTCTTTTCTCCACGCAGATGGACGGTCCCTCGGGTTGAGGCCTGAGTGCCCACAGCAGTGGCCAGCTCTATAAGGCACCTTTGGGATGGCTTGCTCTTGTCTCCGGCTAACTCATTCCAGTCTGTCCATTCTCTTCCCTAAGATCACTTCCTCGATTCACTACCTGCATGAAAGCCTTGCCGGGAACCTAAGCAAGACCAAGCATAGGGCCGGCGTCGCAGCTCACTAGGCTAATCCTCCGCCTTGCGGCGCCGGCACACCGGGTTCTAGTCCCGGTCGGGGCACCGGATTCTGTCCCGGTTGCCCCTCTTCCAGGCCAGCTCTCTGCTGTGGCCAGGGAGTGCAGTGGAGGATGGCCCAGGTCCTTGGGCCCTGCACCCCATGGGAGACCAGGAGAAGTACCTGGCTCCTGCCATCGGATCAGTGCGGTGCGCCGGCCGCAGTGCGCCAGCCGCGGCGGCCATTGGAGGGTGAACCAACGGCAAAGGAAGACCTTTCTTTCTGTCTCCCGAGCTGCTTCCCGCAGCGACCCTGAGACGCAGGTCCAAGTCCACACCATTCTCACCCATCCCCTACACTGTGCCCCCAAACATTTGGACATTTCATGGCTTCTGTGAATTCTTGTTAAGAATCCTCTATTGCCAATATTTTAAAAAATGACCAGGAAATTTCTAGGGAAATAGTTTTATTTTCTCAATGAGAATTTTTTTAAAGATTTATTTATTTGAAAATCAGAGGTAGAGAGAGGCAGAGGCAGAGAGGGAGAGAGGTCTTGCATCCACTGGTTCACTCTCCAAATGGATCGATGTGGGCTATCCCATGAAGCTGCCTGCCTAGCTCATGCAGTTAGCCTGACTGCTAGCAGGCAGCGGGACCCCCAGGCACATTTCCCCCACCCCTGCCTCCTCCCAGTCAGGTATACTGCTCCCAGGTGTGGCCCAGGCCCACCTGGAAAGCTACCCTAGGTACTTGACCTTCAGGCTGATTGGAGAGGCATATTGGCACCAGTGTCGGTTCTGTCCTATAGAATTAGTGTTGCCTTGAATTAGTTACACCCCTTCTGCCTGCCCTTTAAAAGTATACGTGGCTGTGAATAAAGACGGACATGTTCACCGAAGCCTGTCCCTGGTGCTTCTTGTGGAAGAACACCGTCGCCCCGCTCTCCTCGACGGTGCGGCCTTGCAGGAAGGGTCCGCAGATCCTGAGCCAGGAGCCAGGAGCTTCCTCTGGGTCCCCCATGCAGGTGCAGGGGCCCAAGGACTTGGGCCATCTTCTAGTGCTTTCCCAGGCCATAGCAGAGAGCTGGATCGGAAGTGGAGCAGCTGGGACTCGAACTGGCGCCCATATGGGATGCCAGCATTGCAGGCAGCCTATTTGTGACACCACAGTGCCAGCCCCTCAATGAGAATTCTTAAGCAAGGAAGCTCCTTCAGGCCTCTTTGGTAAGGGCACCCACCCCAGGAGCCCAGTCCTCATGATGTAATCTCTTTTCAAAGGCTCCACCTCTTCATACCCTGACCCGGGGCCAGCAATGTGGTATAATGGGTTAAGCTTCTGCCCACGATGCCAGCATTCCAGATGGGCACCAGTTCAAGTCCTGGCTGCTCTACTTCCGATCCAGTTTCTTGCTAATGCACCTAGGAAAGCAGCAGAGGGTGGTCCAAGTGCTTGGGCCTCGGGAGGCTGGATGAAGCTCCTGGCTCCTGGCTTCAGCTTGGCCCAGCCCCAGCCATTATGGCCATTTGGGGAGTGTACCACAGGATGGAAGATCTCTCTCTCTCTCTCTCTCTCTCTCTCTCTCTCCCCTTCTCCTTCTCCTCTCTCTGTAACTTTGCCTCTCAGATAAAAAAAAAAATCTCTAAAAAAAAAAAAAAAAATACCCTGACCTGCATGTTGGGTTTCTTTAAAAAAAAAATGGGTTGAGGAAGGGCTTTTTCTTCATTCCTTTCTTTCTTTCACTGTATTTATTTGAGAAAGAGACACTGAGTTCTTCCCGGGCTTGCTTCTTCTGCATGAGCAGTGCATTGGAGCCATGGTTATCTGGTTGAAAGTAGCCTTGATTTGCTAAATCCTAGTAAATCCCAGGGCTGGTGCTGTGGTATAGCAGGTAAAGCTGCCAGTTGCATTGCTGGCATCCCAAATGGGCGCCAGTTCGAGTCCTGGCTGCTCCACTTTTGATCCAGCTCTCTGCTGTGGGCTGGGAATGCAGTAGAAGATGGCCCAAGCCCTTGGGCCAGTGCACCCGCGTGGGAGACCTGGAATAAGCTCCTGGCTCCTGGCTTTGGATCAGTGCAGCTTCAGCCATTGCGGTCATCTGGTGAGTGAACCAGTGGATGGAAGACCTCTCTCTCTCTCTCTCTGCCTCTCCTTCTCTCTCTGTGTAACTCTGACTTTCAAATAAATAAATAAATCTTTATAAAAAATCCTAGTAAATCCCTTAGCATAGTCATTCTGAACCCTTAACCCTATGGAGGAGGGAGCTTTAAAGATGAGAAAGACATCACCAGAAGCATGTCCATGTGGCCAGAATCGCTCTGATTTGGGGGGGCGGGGCAGTGTTGTGGTAGAGTTGAGTCTGCTCCCTGTGATGCCAGCATCCCATATGAGTGTCAGTTCAAGTCCCCGGCTGCTCTGTTTCCAATCCAGCTCCCTGCTAACATGCCTGGGCAAGCAGAAGAGGCTGGCCCAAGTGCTTGGGCCCCTGCCACTCATGTGGGACACCCTGATCGAGTTCCAGGCTCTTGGCTTCAGCCTGGCCCAGCCTTGGCCATTACAACCATTTGGGGGGGAGGGGTGAGCCAATAGAGGAAAGCTTGATCTCTCTCTCTCTTCCTCTCTCTAACTCTTCCTTTCAAATAATAACTCTTAAGAAAACAAACCCAGTCCTGGGAAAGGACTATGGAATTAGCACAGGTGGCCTAGCCTAGCCCAATCCTATTTTACCACCTGGCAAGCCAAGTTTAATTAGAGGACGGCAAACACATTTGTGGTTCGACTGGAAAGGAGGAAAGGGCTAAGTACTTTCTGTGCTGACAACTTATTGGCTCGGTCAGTTGGAGTTCTGTGAGAGAGGCAGGTTTTCTCCGAGCGAGATGAACAAGGGACTTGCTAGAGATGACACCTCGCCCAGTTGTAGGCGACACTGGGAGGATGACAGCCTGGAGAGGCGTGGCGGTAGAGGGTCACAGAAAAGTCACCAGGCAGGGACCAACGTAGGGAGCTGGGGAGGAGGTCTGTGGGAGACCGTGGCCCCTGTGCCTGGTTGTTGTCAGCCAGCCGGGCAGGAGCTCGGGGAGAAAGGCGGATGTCCAGCGGGTGCAGGCAGACAAGCAGGTACCTGTTCTGAGAAGCTGGTGCTGCAGCCTTAGAGCTGTGCACGAGTCTCACCTGGGACTGAGATGGTGAGGAAGAGACAGACAGGAGCTGCTGGGTCTGTGGGTCCTCAACCCTGGAGCCAGGGCATCCACAGTTACGTCCCACCCTTCTGCCTTCCAAGTCTTACAGACGTTCCTTGCGTGGCTAGCCCTAACCGGAACCACACCAGCAACCTCAGTCCAGGAAAGGCACTGCCAGCTTAGCTAAGTCGGCCCAGGACAAGGTTCACCCTCCTTCTAAGTGCTGAGCCAGGATTCTGTTTATGAACTGCCGTTTGCCTGCAAGAACAGGTATCGAGGTGGAAAGTTCCAAAGGGTGCACAGGAGGGAAGGGTAGCTTGTGCAGTGGCGAGAGGACGAGCAGTGGAGGTGTGGGTGTGGGTGTGTGGGAGGGGGCTGGGGGGCAAGGCCAGGGAAAGGTTGTCCAAGGGGTCCGGGCTGGGGTCCAGAGGAATGTTAAGGAATTTTCTATACAGAAGTCCTGCTTATCCGCAGTTTCACTTTCCATGGTTTCAGTAACCCACAGTCTACTGGGGCTTGGAAATATCAAATGGAAAACTTCAGAGCTAATTGATCCATAAGTTCTAAGTCACTTTGATTATGATATATTCTTATAATTATTCTACTTCATTATCTGTAATTGTTCATCTCTTACCGGGCCTAATTTATAAGGTAAGCTTTGTCACAGGTAGGGATGTATGTGTAAGACAAGAAGATGGTGTGTGTGAGGTTTGGTGCTGTCAGCGATTGTAGGCAGCCACAGGACATCTTGCGGGTGTAGACATCACGGACAGGAGGGTTCTACTGCCGACAAGTGGGAGCCGTCAGCAGATTTGAAGCAGGAAAATGGACCTTCTGTTCTGTCCACCTGCACTAGATTCTGAGAGGCAGAGGGGCTGGCTGGAGCAGGACTCCCCGGCTGCCTGCAGTAACGTGTAACTAGTCCCGGGCCCGGGCTATCAGACAAGTTACACCTGCCTCCCTCAGTCGAACCCAAAGGACAGAAGGGCTCTCTGCCGGGTTTGTAGACCTGGCAGAGACTGATGCTAGCCAAGCTTGTTTTGACGTTTAAGACCTCATAAGCACAGCTATTTGACGATGCACATGCACTCATCACTGTTATCCATGGGGGCTGGGCCCAGACCCCTTGTGGATACAGTCTGTGCGTGCTCCAGTCCGTTATATAAAGTGGCCTGGTATTTGCATAGAACCTACTCGCTCACTCTGGTACACTTACGTTTTTATCTACCTATTCTATCTGAAAGGCAGAAAGGACCGACGGGAAGGGGAGAGAGTTCTTTCATCTACTGGGCCGCTCTCCAACTGCCTACGACATCCAGGGCTCGGCCAGCTTGAAGCCAGAAGCCAGGAACTCCATCAGGGTGTCCCATGTGAATGGCAGAAACCCAACTGTTTGAGCCATCACCTGCTGCCTACCAGGGTGTACCCAGGCAGGAAGCTGGAACCGTCATACACTTTGTCATCTCTAGATTGCTTTTAATACTTAATATAGGGGCCAGTGCTGTGGCGAGCAGGTTAACGCCCTAGCCTGAAGCTCCAGCATCCCATATGGGCACCGGTTTGAGTCCTGGCTGCTCCTCTTCTGATCCAGCTATGGCCTGGGAAAGCAGTAGAAGATGGCCCAAGTCCTTGGGCCCCTGCACCCATGCAGGAGACCTGGAAGAAGCTCCTGGCTCCTGGCTTCAGATCGGCACAGCTCCAGCCATTGTGGCCAATTGGGGAGTGAACTATTGGATGGAAGACCTCTCTCTCACTTTCTCTCTCTGCCTCTCCTCTCTCTGTGTAACTCTGACTTTCAAATAAATAAATAATTGAAAAAAAATACCTAATACAAGTGCTACGTACATGGTTGTTACACTGTATTGCAGAGGGTCATGTTTAGGGATTGCTTGTTGACAATAATGATGGCCAGGGAATAAGTCTGCCCATGCAGCTGCTAATAATTGGAGCTTCTGTACCTCCTCACCTCCACTTACCTGCATGGTTTCTGGCCCTAGAAATGTGTTCATGCCATTTTAAATACACTGGATGGAAAAGCAACCATTTTTAAGAATAGCTTCTCTGTATTTCATGCACAGCTTTGCTTGTGATGTTTCTCTGCCTGGAATGCCCCCCTCACCTCGTTAGGCTCCTAGGTCCCCAGGACGAGTGAAGGTGTCAACTCCAGGTAGAAGTCATTCTAGATCTTTCCATCTGGACATGACCTCTTCCTCTTTTGAACCCCAACACTTGCTTATTTTCTTCTAGGCCACTTCACACTCTGCTCTCAGCAGTCATACCTGTGCATCTGTCTTATTCCTAGTAGGTTCCCCTAGGATCTGAGTTCCTTTTTTGAAATAAAGATTTATTTATTTATTTGAAAGACAGAGAGAGAGAGAGAGAGTGGGAGAGAGAGAGAGAGAGAGATCTTCTATCTGGTCTGCTGATTCACTCCCCCAAGTGGCAGCAACAGCCAGGGCTGAGCCAGGCTGAAGCCAGGAGCTTTATCTGGGTCTCCCATGTGGGTAGCAGGGGCCCAAGCACTTAGGCCATCTTCTGCTGCTTTTCCCAGGCCATTAGCAGAGAGCTGGATCAGAAGTGGAGCAGCCGGGACACGAACCAGCACCCACATGGGATGCCAGCCCTGCAGGCAGTGGCTTTACTCACTACGCCACAGTGCTGGCCCCTGAGCTCCTTGTATCAAGTCAGGAAATAGTCATTGAGCACTAACCATGTGTCAGGCATACTGCAAATATAAGGTTATAAAAAGTGAGTAAGATCGGAAGGCTTCCACAAAGGCCGTGCATAGCACAATTCTTTAACACAGAGAGTCCTCATTTAATGAAAGAACGAATAGTCATATAGTTAATTAATCAAAACACGTAAGCTTCTAAAGACAGACAAATATAAAGAGGAAAGCAAAAGGAGACTAGAATCTTCCAGCCCAGATAACTACTGTTGACCTATTTTTAAAAAGTAAAAATACTGGGATAAGAGGAATTTGCGTACAGTGCCACTCCTGGATAGGCACTGCTTTCCACTCATCTGGGTCTCCAATGGGGCAGGAGGTGCTGGATTCTCAGCACTGGGGTATGGGTTTGGAGAGTGCTCACTTGAGAGTGGGGAAGCAGAGTGTTCTTGTCCCAGTCCCCTGAATCTGTGACAAGCAGGCGTTAACTCACAAAAATAATCCCGGGACGGCTGCGGCTGCGGGGCACCTCTGTGTTTCCAGACTCAGTCATTCCTAGGAATATTTAAGCTGTGACGACTTCCTGCAGAGGGCGCTAAAGCACAAGCTGGACCCAGAATTCCACCAGAGGGAAGCACAGCCCCAGTGGGGTCGTTTCGTTAATCTCTCAGTAACATCACTCCATATTTTGATTTGATTTGTTAACCCCACTGTTTTCTTATGATAGGGATTTTGCTGTGCAGGTATAAAGCTAAATAATGCAAATATCACAGAAAGAAAATGAAAATCTCTCCATTTCTGCCCCACGATCAATCCACACTCAACTTTTAATTGCTTTTTGGATTCCTGCCAGGGGGGAAAATGCCTGAATATATAATCATCTGTTTATACATTTTCTCTCTTCTGTTTTTGCACACACATATTTTACCTAAGGCTGATCATACCTGCCCATTGTTTCGGACCATGCTTTCTTGTTAACATATCTTGGGTATATCTCCCTACAGACATATATCGCATTCATTCATAATTGCCTCCCAGTCGTGTTCCATGATTTACTTTGGTTGTTTCTAGTATTTTACTATTATTAGAAATATAGTCCTGTCACGAATGTCTTTGACAGGAGGGGGTTGGACTATCCACAGGGTAGACTGCTGGGAGGAAGAGTGTGGGTATTTGACAGTTTAATGCATAGTGTCAAGCTGCCCTTCAGGAAGGTTGTACGCTCCACAGCTCTGGTCATGACACGTCTACGACTTCGTGAGTGTTATAAGTGGAGCGTGGAGTCTCCTTGTTTGGGTTTGCAGCTTCTTTCATTGGGACAGAGGCTAAAGCGAGCGGTTCGCTGCATTGCCTCTGCTCCGCGCACCTGCCCAGGAGAAACCCGCTCGCCCGCAGTCCTGACTCCTCCTGTCCAGCAGGGGGCGAAGGCTCGCCCGCTCCCGCATGCGCAGTGCGCTCCGTGTCAGACGCCGCCGGGCCCGAGAGCCTGCGCCCTGTTCCAGGCGTGTTCGTGTCGACCTGACCCTGGCCGTGGCTTCCTCCAACCTCGGCGCAGTTCGACCCGGGCAGCCGTGGCCAGCGCCCCGCGGCATGAGCCGGTGACCGAGCACGGGGCCGATCGGGAGGCAGCCGTGGCTGAGGTTAGTGCGGCGCGCGAGGGCCGGGCGCGGGCGGCGGGGGACGCTCCGTGGAGGCCCGTGGGCTGCGGCAGGCCGCCTCGCCCCGCCGGGGGCCTCCTCCAGCCATTTCGCGCGTTGCCCTGCGCATCCCCCTGGCTGGGCCGGCCCCTGGGTCCCCCGGGTCCCCCTCACCCGCTCCTGTGCCCAGCCCCGGCAGCTGGCCTGCCCCGCAGGACCGCCCCTTCCTGCTGCCACCTCCTTCCCGCGAGCTCCCGGGGATGCCGTGGCCCCTGGTGCGGTGCCGGCCGGGGGCGCGTGGGCGTTCGGAGCCACAGCGGGGTCAGAGATCCTTGCTTGCTGTGACTTCCTGGGGAGCGCTGGTCTGGAGGCGCCCTTGACTCGCTCATCAGCAGGTGCTGTGTGGATGCCCAGAGGTGACCGCTCTCATTGTCCTGGGGACTCGGTGTGCGACTCTCAGCGCTCCGGGCTGCTTGGGGGAGGAGACCCGTGAGTCCGTTTCCAGGCCCTCGCTGTCCCCTCGCTGTGAAGCCAGCGCGGCCGTGTTCTGGTTGTGCAGTGTGGGACAGGGTAGTGAGCCGTTCCCTTGTTCTAACCCCGTCTGTGCGATCAGAAGGATGACAGCCTGTCATGCAGCGCGGAGTACCTGAACGCTGACGTTGTGCCAAAAAACGGACCCTGGCACGTCCTCAGTGCTCAGTAAGGGTTATTATTATTATTTTTTTTTAAGATTTTATTTATTGACAGTGAGAGAAAGAGCCAGAGAGAGAGGCCTTCCATCCGCTGGTTCACTCCCCAGATGGCCGCAATGTCCGGAGCTGTGCCGATCCCAAGCTTCTTCCGGGTCTCCCATGCGGGTGCAGGGGCCCAAGGACGTGGGCCATCTTCTCCTGCTTTCCCAGGCCACAGCAGAGAGCTGGATCGGAAGTGGAACAGCCGGGACTAGAACCGGCAACCATATGGGATGCCGTGTTGCAGGTGGAAGATTAACCTACTGCCGCCTGGCGCTGGCCCCTTGTTATTAGTTACTTCATGCTATTATATTGTGTAAACTATAGTACGGTTCCCACAATAATAAGAAACTTTTTTTAAAAACGGAAACTATTTTTAGGGGTGGTTAGCTGTAGTATAACTTTTTTTTTTTTTTTTAAGATTTATTTATTTGTTTGAAAGGCAGAGTTACAGAGAGGCAGAGGCAGAGGCAGAGAGAGGTCTTCCATCCACTAGTTCACTCCCCAGATGTCTGCAATGGCTGGAGCTGGGGTGATCCGAAGCCAGGAGCCAGGAGCTTCTTCTGGCTCTCCCATGTGGGTGCAGGGGCCCAAGGACTTGGGCCATCCTCCACTGCTTTCCCAGGCCATAGCAGAGAGCTGGATCAGAAGTGGAGCAGCTGGGACTCACATTGGTGCCCATATGGAATGCCGGCACTGGAGGCGGCGGCTTTACCCGCTAGGCCACAGTGCCAGCCCCTGTAATATAACTTTAACGATACAGAATCTTATCAGGGATCTGGTATTCAGCCTGGCAGGTGAGATGCCCGACGCCCGCATCGGAGTGTCTGCCTCCTGACTCCAGCTTTGTGCTGATGCACACCTTGGAGCAAGAGGTGCGGGCTCCAGTAACCGAGTCCCTGCCACCTACGCGGGAAACCCAGGTGCGTTCCCTGCCCCTGGCTCCCACCTTGACCCAGCCCTGGCTGTCACTGGCATTCGGGGATGTACTAACAGGTGGGAGGTCTCTTTTTCTGTCTGTCTTTCCCTATGTCTGTCTGTCTCTCAAATGAAGTAAGTAGGAGGCTGACACTGTGGCGTAGCAGGTAAAGCCACCACCTGCAGTGCCTGCATCCCATATGGGCACCAGTTCAAGACCTGGCTGCTCCACTTCCAATCCAGCTCTCTGCTGTGGCCTGGGAAAGCAGTAGAAGATGGCCCAAGTCCTGGGTCCCCTGTACCTGCTTGAGAGACCCGGAAGAAGCTCCTGGCTTTGGATTGGCGCAGCTCCAGCCGTTTTGGCCAATTGGGGAGTGAGCCAGTGGATGGAAGATCTCTGTCTCTCTCTCTCTGCTTCTCCTTCTCTCTCTGTGTGACTCTTTCAAGGAAATAAATCTTAAAAAAGAGAGAGAGAGAGAGAAAGAAAGAAAGAAAGAAGAAAAGAAAAGAAAAGAAAAGAAAAAGAAAGAAAGAAGTCAATAAATACATAGAAAAACTGTACCAGGTGAAGCAGTGAATTATGGATTTCCCTCCTTTTGCTAATACTTGGCTCCTTTGTTTTCAGGAGCGTTGGGGTAAGCCCCAGTGTGGCAGTGGCCCTGGGAGTTCAGCTGTGAGGGTGTCTCTGGAAAGGTTGATACAGGGGACTGAGTGGATTGGATGTACCCTGAAGCACCCAGCGGAGGTTGTGCGGACAAGTTCTGGGCATAAGTAATTCCAGGAACAGAAAGTGCAGCTCACCCTGACAATAGATGGGGATTAAGAGACTTTTCCAGAGCCGGCGCCGTGGCTCAATAGGCTAATCCTCCACCTTGCGGCGCCGGCACACCGGGTTCTAGTCCCGGTTGGGGCGCCGGATTCTGTCCCGGTTGCCCCTCTTCCAGGCCAGCTCTCTGCTATGGCCAGGGAGTGCAGTGGAGGATGGCCCAGGTGCTTGGGCCCTGCACCCCATGGGAGACCAGGAAAAGCACCTGGCTCCTGGCTCCTGCCAGGATCAGCGCGGTGCGCCGGCTGCAGCGGCGGCCATTGGAGGGTGAACCAACGGCAAAGGAAGACCTTTCTCTCTCTGTCTCTCTCTCTCACTGTCCACTCTGCCAAAAAAAAAAAAAAAAAAAAAAAAAAAAAAAAAGAGACTTTTCCAGTGACTCAGTGCCTGCTGGGTGACGTGGTGTTCTTCAAGGACAGGGCTGATGTGTTTCCAGGAGGACGAAGCTCGTAGGGCTGTGTTTGGAAATTCTTCGGGCTGTGATGTATAGAATAAAGGCCTTAGTAGAAGAGTCCTTGCAGTCTGTCGTCCTCAGGGGTACGGAGTGTCATCTTTGGATGGAGAGATTGTGACTTGTTTCCCTGGAGGGTGGTTCCGGAGGTGTCCGTCTTTCTCGGCTTCCCCATGCAAAGCTCTGGGCGGACGGGTTCTATGTCTGACAGTAATGCTGGAGCACCCCGAGTCAGGAGCTTTACAAAAGTGGTGCAGTTTAGCGCAGGGTTCTGCAGGTGGGGTGGGGAGAATAATAGCACCCCGGATGTGCTCCTGCTTGGCAGAGGTGGGACAGGAGGTGTTGGGGAGTGGGAAGGGAAAACTTCTGGTCTGTGGAAGGGCCTAGCTGATTCCAGCTCAGGGAAGGAGGACACAGGGGTCACCACCACGTAATAACTCAATAGTAGCTCGGGGGCTGCACGCTGCACCGATGGAACTGGGGGGAGGCAGTCATTCATCCAACAAATGTTTACATTGCTATTACGTAAGTCCTAGACCGAGCAGAAGGCAAACTCTTGACTGTGAGAGAGGTGACAGCTAATGGAGGAGATGGACTTGTGGCTAGTTCACTGGTCAATGTGTGTCATATCAGAAAAGCTGGACAGCTGAGGAAGACAAAATGCTGACCTGGCAAGGGTGGAGTGTGGGCTCTGAGCTGACACTGGGAGTCCCCCGACCAGTAGTAGGGAAAGGAGTTGCCGACCAATGTCCTCATCTCCCACCCTTCTGAGGGACAAGGCATCTCCATGGGTCTGCAGAGGGACCCCAGGAGCTCTGGCAGCCCCTGTTGCGCAAACAGTAAGAGCTCAATAACCACTGTTTTTTATAAATAATTTTTAGGGGTTGGCACTGTGATGTAGCAGGTAAGGCTGTACCCTCGGTGCTGGCCTTCAGTGCTAGCATCCCATGTGGGCACCGGTTTGAGTCCCAGCTGCTTCACTTTGATCCAGCTCCCTGCTAATGTGCCTGGAAAGGCAACGGAGGAAGGCTTGGGCCCCTGCACCCATGTGGGAGGCCTGGAGGAAACTCTTGGCTCCTGGCTTCAGATCTTCCCAGCTGTGGCCATGGCAGCCAACTGGGGAATGAACCAGTGCATGGAAGATCTCACTCTGTCTCTCTGTCTCTGTCTTTCTCTATGTAACTCTGCATTTCAACTAAATAAATATATTTTTTAAATATTTATTTTATTTTTTGAAAGGCAGACTTACAGAGAAAGGTAGAGACAGAGAGGTCTTCCATTTGCTGGTTCACTTCCCAAATGGCCGTAATAACCAGCGCTGGGCCAGGATGCAGCCAGGAGCCAGGAGCTTTTTCCATGTGCAGGAGCCCAAGGACATGGGCCATCCTCTGCTGCTTTCCCAGGTGCTTCGGCAGGGGAGTTGGATGGGAAGTGGAGCAGCCGAGACTTGAACCGATGCCTATATGGGATGTCAACGCTGCAGACCAGGGCTTGGACCCACTGCACAATAGCGCCCCGCCTCTAAATAAGTAAATCTTTTAAAAAAATAATTTTTAAAACTTATTTGAAAGGCAAAGAGAGAGAGCTTGAGAGTGAGAGCACTTCTGTCCTCTGGTTCACTCCCCAGGTGCCTGAAACACACAGGGCAGGACCAAGCCAGTTCCCCATGTGGGTGATAGGCCCCAACTGCTTGAGCCATCACCAGCATTCCTGTCTGTATTAGCAGGAAGCTGGAGCCAGGAGTTGGAGCCAGGAGTTGAACACACGGGTGGCTAACCAGTATCTTAACCATTAGGCTGGACCCCTGCCCCGAGTAGTGCACTGTTTACTGGCTTTCTCTTGTGGCCTTCTCTTTCCTCGCCCTCTCAACCTGCCCTCTCAGATTACTCCCCAGTAAGTTAACTGCTTGCACCCTCATCTTTGTGTCTCCTTTTTTTCCTGTTGGAGGGGGGTGTGGTGGGTGCACTTAAACAGGCCTTGCTTTGATCTAATCAGGCAGGGTTTTCTTAGCTTGAAGTTGAGCATCTTGAATCTGTGAGTGGAAATCTTTCACCATTTTTGGATTTTCATGGCTGCA